AATTTAGGTCTCTATTCATTCCACGGGTTGGATGGTTTCCACTATGACTAATATGGTGTTTCAGCCTACATGGATAGTGAGTGGGGTTATTTAGGTGTCACCTAGTCCGTGGGGATGAATGGACTCGAGTGGGATGGATTGAAGGTGACGATGTCCACACGACCCACGAGGGTGAGTCGAGCCGAGTGGGTTTTGGGTAGGAGTTGTTGGTTGGAGATGAGGCAGGATGACAAGAATAGGTGGCTCTTGTTGCGGTAGGCTTTGTGTTACTTGGGTACCTTGATCTTGTGCTTGGAGTGGGTCGGTCAAGAGCGGCCCTGTTTGCTATCCCAACTCAGTTGGACTCTAGGCTGGGCCATCCACTAGCGTTGAATGGAGTTAACGTGATTGAGTATCTGAAGTGGTCAATCTGTTATCCGGAGTCTAGAGAGGTTGCATGGATGGAACCGATGCGCGGAAACGATTGGGTTGTACCTGACAAGGCTGAAGCTCAAGGTCATAAAATTGGCTCACCTTTTCTTTCAAATACTGGTTTTCAACCAAGATGGAGGCGTTTTCAGTCTGGATGGTGGCATTCTCAGCTTCCAATGCTGCCACTTTGTCTGAGTGTTGTTGCATAAAAGCAGTTAGAGCTTCGAGCCTAGCCTCGATACCAGGATTGATGTTATCTAAATTTTTAGCCATAGGGAAGTTTCCTTACGAAGCAAGGTTTGAAAGATGAATGATTGCTAGAGGTCCCACAGTAGGCGTCAAACTGTAGACGGCAAAATCTACGGTTACGAAGATAAGGTATGATCCCGTGAGGTTGAGGCCACCAACAATCCGTTGCACCTATGCACACAAGAAAACAAGCGTAAAGCTTACAGAAAGCACCAAGGTGTTGTTTGCCGTAGGCACTCCGACGCTCAAGTCAGCAAGGCTGGGTGAGGCTAATTTAGAGAGGGTAAGAAAAAGAGTGTGTGTTGCCAACATGATTGATGTTATCTGAATTTTCAGCCACATGGAAGTTTCCTTGTGAAGCAAGGTTTGAAAGATGAATGATTGCCAGAGGCCTCACGGTGGGCACCAAACTGTAGACGACAAAATCTACGGTAACAAAGATAGGGTATGATCCCGTGAGGTTGAGGCCACCAGCAATCCGTTGCACCTGCGCACACAAGAAAACAAGCGTGAAGCTTACGAAAAGCACCGAGGTGGTGTTTGCCGTAGGCACTCTAACGCTCAAGTTAGCAAGGCTAGGTGAGGCTAATTTAGAGAAGGTAAGGGAGAGAGAAGGTTACTAGGAATCTAGCCGGAGACTAGGACTACAGCGGCGATGTAAGGCTCTCGAGAGTGAGACTATGGGGCTAGAAGGCGTAGTCTTTTGTGCCTGTGAGAGGACTGGCCTCTTGTTTAAATAGCAGTTGTAGGACTTTCGAGTCCTAGTAGGACTTTGAGTCCTGGGAAGTTGAGGTTTAGTGGAAAGGGAAGCCTTTGACTCCCTTACCTTAATAGGAAAGGGAGTCCCAGCAGGTCTAAGATACGGATCTTAGACGAATTAGGATAGTAATGGATCTCTTCGGTAGAATCCAGATAGCACCGGAGTAAATAGGTAACCTTAGGGTCCAAGTAAACCCTAAGTCTAGCAGGTGGTCTTGGATCAATGGGCCCGAACCCAAACAAGTTGATGATGAGGTCTAAACGAATCGAGGCCTTTATTGATTGGGCTCAAGCAGTGAGCAACATGGTAGGTGTAATGAGCAGGCCCAATATGCAAACCCTGTCATGGGCCTAATCAGAATTGGGCCATGACTCCGAGCTTTGTTGAAGGTGTCTTCCCCTTAGGCCTATTGAGGCCGAGGACATTTTTTGGCCTTAACACATACCCACCCATTTATCCTCCCAACCAAACATATTATTTACCAATTTATTCAAACCAACGAAACACATTTTCTAAACATTCCCAGTAATCTTCAAGGTGATCTATCTTTCCGTTAATATAATATCCCCCTATAATAAAACATTATATGATCCAAACGCCCCCATAGTAGTAATATAGGAAGTAATCTGATTACCTTCATTTTCTTAGATATTTTAAGATTACTTGGTAATCTTAATTTTGTTACAATTTTTACCCTTCACTATTAAAACTTTTGAACAATAATACCCTTATTTTGAAATTAATTTACATGAACTCTACCATTACAATTTTCCCTTAAATAATTAAAGTCCTGACAGTAATGCCCCTATTTTTAAAACAATTTACAAGCCACCCAAGAGGACTGCTGCAGCCGGAGGCCACCACCACCACCGGTGGCCACCGTCACTAGAATGGTGCACGACTAGCCGAATCTGGCCAGTCATGAACCGATATGGCATTTTCCGACCATAACGATGGCTGTGGATATGAAATTTTTTGGGTTGGGTAGCCGCCAATATTAAGCCTTATTTGGGCTGATTCCAACATCACCGTCAGCCCCAACCACCACCATTTTACTCCTCTCATTTTCCTCTTCAAATCCCACCAAACCCCATCATCAGAGTTGCTCTCAATCGCCGATGAAGCCCACTGTTTTTCCGCGATTTTCCTTTTTCTCGGTGCTTTTCCGATCGCGTTTTCTACTAGAAATCACCCCCACTTTAGGGGTGTTCAAAAGCGGTTAACCGGGTTTTCTAAACCGAACTGAATTTTCGGTTCGGGAAAATTCTCGAACCGAAACCGAACCGATTAACCGTTTTAAAAAAAGTGGTTAACCAGTTTTGAACCGGTTTTCCCTTTTTTCTTTTTATAAAACTTTTTTTTTTTTTAATTTTATCCTAAATTAAATTGTAAATATAGACAATACATTGGGAACTAAGAAAAAAAATTTGGGTTGGGATTTTAGATAGAGTGAATTAGGGATTTATTTTAGTTTAGGTTATTATTTATTTATTTAATATATATATATATTATTATATATTTGAAAAACCGGTTTAGAAAACCGGTTTTTGGTTAACCGTTTCTAATTTCTCCCGAACCGGTAATCGAACCGAATATTTAGTTTTTTGAATTTTTCGAACCGTAACTGAATTGGTTTTTCGGTTCGGTTCGGTTTTTGCATTTTTTTGAACAACCCTACCCCACTTGCACTAATCGACTCCCCTTCACCTCCTCTTCAAAACTCCTCAAAGAACATCTTCGTTATACTTCTCGATCGATAGCTGGCGATGGTTTAGGCGACCGACAGTGGCTTGGATGGGTGAGGGTGTTTTTTGTTAAAAATTAAACTTTTATGGTGTTTTAGCAAAATCTCAAATGTGGAGGGTTAAAAGATGATTAAAAAAATAAAAATAAAAATATTATATTAATATTTTAAAAGAAGGGCAATTTAGTAATCTATATAACATACCCACCAATTTATTTCTCCCAACCAAACATATAAATATAACACACTCACCAATTTATTCCAACCAACCAAATACATTTTTCTAAACATTTCCTTCAAAGTAATATATTCTTTTATTAATATAACATTCTCAATAATACAACATTTCCTGAACCAAAAGCACCCTAAAGGTTGAGCCAATCCAATCCAATCCATTTTTATCCAGGCCAGTGGAAACTAAGGCTTAATAACCTTAAATAAGTAAGGCCCATCACTATTGAAACAGGGCTTTTCAAACGGGCAAGATATAATGTAACAAAATAGCCATTCTATTTCTATAGCAGCCCAACCTGTTGTCATCTACTTTCTAGCGTGAGCGACATGCATATTCTCGCATTGTTTGATTATATTTTGACAAGATGTTACATCAATGCAAATAATAAGACATCAGAGAGTATATATAAATATATATACTGTCCAATTCAATTCCATCCATTTTATAGTTACATATTCACTCTTTAATTTACAATATTTTAGTTAATACAGCAAAATGACAACAATTGAACATTACATTTCTTCCATATATACAAGTCATATCACAAATTCAAAATAATTTGATCCCCGTCATACACTAATATGACATATCTAAGGCAATATCCAATCACTTAAGCCTAAATGAAAATCGCAAAACAACACGTTACTTGAGGTTTCAGAACAAAACAAGCTTAACTTTCAGACCATTTTACTATTGTATCTCCATTCTATTGCACCAAATGTTACACAAAAACAGAGTATTCTTTTTTTTTTTAAATTCTATTAACTCTACACAATTAATTTATTTTACTAATTATTTTTATATATATTAATTAATTATTGATAGTTATTGAAGTTTAAAATAATGCATACTAATCCCAGTACTAACATTAAAAATTTGAAATTTCCCCCCAAAATTTTTTTCAAATTTTCAATGTTAGTACTTGAATTAGTACACATTGGTTAGTGTACATAACATTAGTCTTAAAGTTTAATATTTGTATTTCAATGAAGTTTGTTTTCAATTTTTCATTATTTTTTTATTAATACAATTATTATAAATTTATTATTACAAATATTAATATAAATAATAATCGAATTAATATAAACACAAATACAAAAATAAATAAAAATAAAAATAATATAAATGCAATAAATTTTAATTTAAAGGTTTAAAAAAATGACTTGAAAAATGAAAAAAAAAAAAAAAATTCAGTGTTATGATTTAAATGAATTGTGACACTAAATTTACAACAATTAACTTTTAGAATTGGTTTGAAGCAACCAATGACGAAAACACATTTTGGGACTCTACACCAGCGGGAAAAGCTAAGTGTCCCATTGGCGTAAAACACCAAAGTGTCCAATTGTTGCTCCTCTAAAAGTCATAGCAAATTTGGTGTAGCTTTATTCATTCCCACCAAAACACTAAATAATTTTTCCACTTTTTTAATATAGTTTTTTTATTCTTTTTCAAAATAAACCTTGCTTTTTTTTTTTTTCGGTTGCATTGTATGAAAACCGTACCATTTTGATGATGAAGTTGCAGCAAGTGAATATTAGAAACTTCAATTCTAAAACAAATAGAAATTAGACAAGATGTGAAATAGTTACAGTTCATCGAATTGTAGTGCTGTTATTTAACTCCAATCTCGTGAGTATACAGGAGAAGAAGCTGATGACAACACATCCATATCCGAGTTTTTCAGACCCTAAACCCACTAGAAAGGATATAGAGAATAGTTAAAACTCAATTCATACACAATTATCAAACATATTAATCATAGAATTAGAGTAAGTCATCAGGCTATTTGCCAACTAAGAACAGTACACAAATATGCTGCCTCAGTTAAATCCAGTAATCTCAATGCGTTGTAGCTTCTGCCAAGTAGGTTCCCCTGTAAAACAGGGCTTGGCTCCACTACACCTCAAATTAAGTGGATTGTATCATCACAGGCAGTTGAACCCGACGTTCTCAAACACTAATCCGCAATTAACAACATTACATTAATTGAAACAACACAAAAAAGGATAAACTTATTGATTTAGAGGCTCAGAATATATGACAGCTTTCTCAATCAAGAATTTTCTGAAGCAGAACTGGCATTTAAAGCTGAATTTTAATCCTCATAGCCAATCATATTTCACCAATAATCAATTCAACAAAACAGTCATTTTAAACTACTAAATGCATTAAAAAAACAAAAAACAAAAAAAAAAAAAACTGGCTCATATTAAGAAATTCAACCGTTGATTTATTCTTCTGCTTCATAGATTACTCTCAGAAGCGCGGATAAATATATAATCATCGCCAGAAGTGATACTTATTGAAGCAGCACATAGACGCAAATAACAGTAAAGAATATAGCGGATGATTTTAGAGGCAAAACTATTGAAAAGGTATACCCCCACGTGTAGCACCGCCGAATTCAGTTTTTGCCTCTATGACTAGCCTAATTTTCGGGGTATTATTTCTATCGAAAACCAGCTAAAGGTGTGGAGAGGCACATAACATAATACACAAGTATCTATATGCATGTTGCCGTTGATTTGACACAGATCAGCCGTGGGTGAAGGGGCTAAACTGCAACACTTAACGGCGGCGTTCTAGCACAAGCTTTGGGGCTTTCATCTTCACTATGAGCTTCAGAGAAGCCCGGGGTAGCATCGTGCAGAAAGACAAATAAACTAAATAATTCAAATCAAAATAAGAAAAGCTAGAACCCTAGAACTAGAAGGCTGTTTTGGAGAGAAGAAGAATTTGGAATATGTTGATGAAGACCCTTGTGTTGTGTTTATATAGAGGTTTCGAAACCCTAAAAACCCTACTGACGAAAAGGAATGCTATAACTGGAATTGGGTCGGGTTGTTCAATCCGTTTGGTCTAAAACCCAAATTAACAAGGCCCAATAAGGACCAATCCATTAAATACAACTTAATCTTTTTATAATAATTTAAATTGAATTTAAAAATTTGAAACTCAAAAATAATTCTTTTATTGACAGATTTTCTGTTTAGGCATAGTGTTAACTGAATTAACCAAACAAAACCGCTCCACTAAGAATGATCACCCATAGAACAAAGAAAGAACTCTTAGACTTCAATTCCTGTGGCTCTTAGACTATTTTATTTTATTTTATTTTTTTAATTTAGAAAACAGTGCATCATATTGATATAGATTAATATGATACCTATTCAACATATTTCGAAATGAGAAAAGGAACCCCATAGTTTGAATTACCTTGGTCCTTGTCAGGAGGTCTTAAATAGCTGAGGAACTTGGTGACAAGTTCTTCAAAAATTACACGTAAGTTTAAAGGATAAAGTTCACAATAAATAATTTTGACCCTAATAGCTAACCGCGTAAATTCCATTTCATTGTGGCTCACATATAACCAGAAATGAAGATTTTCTCAGAATTTTAGCTCAATGGTCATCATATACAGAGAGATGATCAATAACTGAATTGAAATCATTTTGAAACATAACTTTGCACCTAGAACATTGTCCCCCGGAAACTAAAAGTTCAGAAGGTATAGCTATGAAATATGGCCAAATAATCAGATTTTTATTTCTCCCAGTAACCTGAAACTAGTTGACAGTTCACTACTTTGAGTGTACATGAGATGCCGCCAAGTGCAAAAGGTAAACAAAAAGATCATCACATAAGAAAAAATTGAAAATTCAACAGCAGAAAATTAGATTGCCGCTGCAAATTATTTACCGGTTGAGTCTTTCAGAAAGATCACTTTCCTTGCAATGTGACGAAGGGTGGGTGGAGGAGTGCTTTGTCCTCATACTATCATCCACGTCAAGTGCCGATACCCTGCCCACTTAGCAGCAACACGGATTCCAATGGCCAAGGCAGCACCTAGCAATGGCAATGGAACCTTCCTATCTGTTGCTAATACTTCAACTTCCTCCTTTCCTTCTGAAAGCTTTTTATAATGGTGAGAAATAGCTAGAGCTATATACAAAGCCATCACCACAATTCTAACCCATGGCTCCCCAATGGCAGCTAAAATAGCTGCAACAGGTAATGCAGATGTAACATCATCCTTCTTTTTAATTAATCGTGAGTAACCATACATTCCCAGCAGAAGTGTCCAGAAGAATGGCTCAGAGATGTAGCTTTTTACAGCAGCATAGCCAATTAGGCCAGCTAATGTAAGAAGATGTGGCTGGCTGCTAACAGCATTTGGAACAGCAGCTTCTGCAATGGCAAGAACTGCTGATGCAAGCATGATAACCACAGTCAATTCAGGGATAGGAGTATAGGCCACAATCCCAGAGTAGAATGCTCGAATGCTATAGATAGCAGTTTCTACACATCTGATCAGGGAAGTAATCGGATCTCCTATGAAATGGAAGATAAGGGCTAAGATGAACTTTAGGAGGTAACCAACAAATCGAGCGACACTCAACGCAGTCTTTCTCCAATTAGCCAGTTCAAACAGAACTGCCCTCCATGTATATATAAGAAATGCAAGTGCTGCACATAGATTATAGAATGAAAATTGTTTAGTCAGCATCACCATAATGTTTTGTCAAAATTTCCTTCTTTTTTTTTTTTTCCTTTAATCTGTGATAAAATAAAAATAATCTAAGCAAATAACTTTGGGTACTGATTAAAAAGAAAAGAACAAAGAAAATCAAACTCTCAAAAGCCTGCCAGCTTTGATCACCAATACGAATAGATGCAAGCTTTTGTTCTAATTGAGGCATTCCCACAAGTCTTAACTATCACAAGAAGAGATATAACTGATGCAGTTAACATATATTGTTCAGCAAGACATATCATTGTGTAGTTATGACTCTCAGAGACATACACTACTGATACTCAAAATGGGCCAAACATAAAAGTTGACGAAAAAGATGAAGACATAGAAACTTTCTCGGTTGGAATCATCATTGCAGTTCTTAATATAATAACTACAACCCATGTCAGCACAAATTTCAACAGGTCAAACACACATCTAACTCCCACTCCCGAATTCTTGCACTAAAAAATATCCATGCCCTCCCCCTCCCCCCTCTCTACCTTTTGAATTCTTTAACACAGAAGGTTCAAGTTAGGCAGCTATTTTTGTAATTAATAACTTTGAGGAATAGAAATTTTCGATAAATGGTAGAAGCTTTACAGTGAGTGAAGACACCCTAAACATAGCAACCATCAGTGAGCACAGACCAACACCTACAGAAAAACTCATACCACCCAATTCAATATAAAACTTAAATCAAGATCTCACATTCAGCTCATATAGATCCTTACAAGGGAATACATAAAATTCATGAAGGTAAATTACTAGCAAAAAGCTTTCTCACTCAAAGCTCTGATCAACCGTTTATCTTTCTTATACAAAGTTCATTATAAGCTGTAAATCTTTATATCATCTCTATAAATGGAAGTAGCAACAGGTCCCCTTTATGATTATGAATTTTCATGATATTAGAAGTAGAGGAAACTAAAAACCCTCCCACGATGAACCTTATACTTCTTCAACGTCCTATTGCTTTTCTCTCATTTTTAGCCAACAAACAAGAATACAAAGCATAATACATTACAGACTTTGAGCACAGTTCAATACACTTACCAACAAACCAAGGCCACCTCAAAGGAGGGTCAGGTGCTTGTTTGGTCAAGTACTTGAACCGTTCAGGCATTGTACTCTCGCCTCTGGCCAATTTTTCAGCTTCTTCAGAACTTCCATCACTGTTATTACTCTCTCCTCCGTCTGCCTTCCCTGAATTTACAGAAAATGCACATTTTCTGTTATATGAAAAACCGAATCTTTTGCTTTGGGAAAATCCAAGGTAACTGGAGTTAAGTGATGGTTCAAGTGAACGAATTTTGGTTAAACAGGAAGGACATGGAACAATTTGGCCATAGTTTTGAAGGGGGAATCGAGAAAATGAATTGGTTTTGAGGTGATGGAGAAGAGGGGGTTTAAGGGTTTGGTGGGGAGAGGAGAAAACGGTTGAAAGCATCATCTTTGGATTTGGATTTGGATTTGCACAAGAAACACTGACATTTTCAGAGGACTAGTGAAGAATGAGGAGTAGTACTCGGCCTATATTGATGAAGACCCCTACTTGGGTCCAGCCCATTCCCAAAAATACTTTCTCCTTTGCTGGAGTTTGGGCCATATTTACAAATTGATCAAACAAAAATGAAAAATGTTTATGTTGAGGGACATGTTACATTACCGATTGTGTCCCTATCCCCCCATTTTCTTATTAATATTTAGATGATAAGTATAGATATTTACTAATTAAAAATAATATTTAAGTTATTATATACCATTATTTCTAACCAAAATATCTTTTTTTTTAGTAAAAAAAAAAAGTCATTAATTCTTACCAAAATATTATTGTAGGATAATATCGTTAGTATACATTGGGATTACAAATTATACAAAGCATTTGAAAACAAATACTGTACTATGTCTAATTTGCAATTGGATATTAAAAATGGAATTATCGCAGATATCACACAAATTAAAACTAAAACATGGTTTGACTGCTTTTTCAAATACAGATATTGAAATTAACTACACTTGCAGCAAGAACACACGAAACTGTTATATTTTCTATCGAAAGATAACCGGAAATAAATATAATATCTGGAAGCTATTTGGATTCAAGGGGGAGTAGAGGCTTATGAACATTTTAGTTTGTCCTCCATCATCAGCAATCGGTAAAGTAAAATTACAAATGTGGTGCAAAACAAAATATTAATATAGCTATTCATCATCAAGAAATAAATAATAGACAGTACTTGTAAACAAAATGAAGAGAATGGCAGCTGTTGTAACCAAACTGTTTTTCCACCATATAACTTGAACTCAACCTCAATGAAAGAGGTGACCATGTCAAAGTGAAACTTTCAATGCAGAAACATGGTATAGCAAGACAATAACCGTACATTCTATTCTATCTACGGTCATCTAGACAGAGTTTGCAAACCTCAACTTCAATCACTGCCTTTCTCGCTCCATTCTCTTGCTTTCTCTTCTGTTGCCTTGATATCGGCTATTGTTTGAATTCATGTGTGGGTGAAAGTTTCACCTGTGTCAAGCTAAACACCAGAAAACTGGTTTGCAAATCTATATTACGATGTATTTGACACGGCATGGTTTAAGGTGATGTGCCTTCCGTTATTGTGTTCAAGAAAAGTGTTGATGCTTTGGCTGACTACAAATAGCGATGTACAGTTTGACCTTAACCATTTGAAAATGATCCAAAAACCCTTTATTATCAGTCTTGATATACAACCCAGCTGCTACCTGGCGCTGCCTTCACTCCCCTCTTCTTCATTTCCCTTCTCATTCTCAGAGCATCCTCATGTCTCCCTAAATTAGCATAAATTCTAGCCAATGGTATATAATTGGAAGGATTATCAGGCTCTATCTCTACCAATGCTTTCCCAGCAATTTCTGCAAGCTCCACCTCTCCATAAGTTTGACATGCACCGAGTAAGGCTCCCCAAGCTTTTGCGGTCACCTGCACTGGCATTTCCCTTATGACTTGATACGCCTCATATAGTCTCCCTGCCCTGCTCAAAACATCCACTAAACACGAATAATGATCACTACTTGCTTGGACGCCGTAATCTTTACCCATTCTTGAAAAATAATCCAATGCTTCCTCAGCTAATCCTGCATGGCTACAAGCTTTAAGTACCGCAAGAAAAGTAATGTGATCAGGCCACACCTTCGCCTTTTCCATTTGTCGAAAAATTTCCAGTGCAGTTCTTGCTTCCCCATGAAGCGCATACACAGATATCAAACTGCTCCATGCAACCACATCTCTTTCCTTCATAGTATTAAACACATTTTGCGCATTATCAAGACACCCACATCGCCCATAGGCCTCCACTAGCCCACTGCGCAATTGCGTGTGCAATTCAATATAATGTCTAATAGCATAACCATGTATTTCCTTAATTAAACTCAAAGCTGCAACACCTAAACAAGCAGGTAATAAAGCAAGAAGGGTAATTAGACTCGGCTTCAAACCCAACTCTTGCATTTCTCTATAAAACGCAATAGCCTTAAACGACCCCTCTTCCAGCTTAGACAAAGCCGCTATTATAGAATTAAATGTCGACTCATCAGGCGCAACATCCATAACTTCAAACAATTTCAAAGCGTCCATCACATAACCATTACGTGCATAGAGCGATATCATCACATTCCACACAATAACATTTCTAAGAGGAATTTCATCGAATACTTTGCGCGCCGAATAAATCGACACGCATTTTCCATAGGAGTCAACTAGAGCGCACGAGACAAATGGGTTTTTCAGCAGAGACAATTTGGTGACGTGGCCGTGAATGGCGACGCAGAGCTGCGGGCGGGTAATGGCGGCGCAAGATTTGAGCACCAGAGGGAAAACAAAGGGATCGAGAGTGAGAGTGAGAGCGAGTGAGGTTTGCATATGGCGAAAGAGAGTAAGGGCTTGGTCATGCAGGCCTTTGTTAACGTAAGAGGATAGCTGCTTGGTGAAAGATAATAACCGCAAGTAGTTTGAGGAATAGCTCATGTTTTGGTCATTAACTAGAATGTTAATGACAGAGACAATCTTTCTTCAACTAAGCAGCATTCTTTCGGTCACTATTTTTTTGCCTTCTTGTTAAATGCAGGATATTTCGAAGTATATATGTCAAATAATTTCTGTTAATTAGGCATAGCTATGTGCAGAAAATAGAAAATACTATTATTGATACTCTTTCCAGCAGAGGCTCTTATTCTTTGGAAAATAATATTATGCTTCCAAAGAAGATTTTCAGGTTGCAAAAAATGAATTAAGGAGTGGAATAAAAAGTTAAACTCATTATATTCATTATTTTTTTCATTTTTTATAATATCATTTTGTATGAAGATTTTTGTAAATTTTTTTTATAAATATAGTATTACACTTTTTTGAAATACTAATTTACAACTTGCATAGCAAACCACCTGCATAAATATTATTTTTAAAACAATATCATGTAGGTGTACTAAATACTATAGAAAGACCTTACGAAAGCTTAGTAAAATAGTTTTATTTTTATCTATTTTATTTTAACTATTTATTTTCTACCACATCAGTTTTTATAAAAATGTTTATAAAATTTGTTTATATATATATGTCTAACATTATTGTTAGGACACATCATGGGCCAAAGTATCCAATCTTTGCACCAACACTAATTATGTCGGCCTTATAACTTATAAGGCTAGTTTAGAGTGTTATTATCAAACTCTTGACGTCTTGATTACACGTTGAAAGTATTCTTTGTTATATTATCAAACTCTTGACGTCTAGATTACACGTGGAATGTAGACGTTGTTATATTGATAAGATAAAAGAAAACATAAGTAGTAATGTAATTAATGAAATTCACCCTTAGCATTAGGATAAAAAAATCCTCGCATGCAAGCCATGCATACGAAGAGAGAAATAAATAAAATTCTCAAGGAAATTTATAAACAGAAAGCTTTTAAGTATAATTTTCAAGATTATAATGACAATAATACTANTTTTTGTTATATTGATAAGATAAAAGAAAACATAAGTAGTAATGTAATTAATGAAATTCACCCTTAGCATTAGGATAAAAAAAATCCTCGCATGCAAGCCATGCATACGAAGAGAGAAATAAATAAAATTCTCAAGGAAATTTATAAACAGAAAGCTTTCAAATATAATTTTCAAGATTATAATGACAATAATACTAAACGTACAAAAAGTTAAACTTCTTATATGTTTGTATTTATTTATTTATTTTCTGTCACATTACTTTTGTATAAAAAATTTTACAAAATTTATTTATTTATCTAATATTACTCTTATAATGAATATGAGAAGATGAAAAGTTTCAACATTGAAAATTTAAAACTCAAACTGAGATTTAAAAGAGCATCAACAACTCGATTTTCTTAAAAATATTTTCTCCATACATTTCAACCACCAACTAAGGCCTTAAACTAACAACTTCCTCTAGAACTCTAAATGGTCCTGAAATTACTGTAATCAACCATGAATGAGCAAAACCAGATATAATTTGGAAGTGTGAGCAATGCACTTAGTAATCACTATAGCAGCATATGAACATTAGTACCTAATTAACAGCCTTGACAAATTAAAAGTACTTCAGGAGTAACGATCCACAGAAATATCCAACATATGATATATAGAGGAAAAAATTGTGCTGCCATTCAAATTGATTTGGCATACACATATGTGAAATTTAATGGCTATATATGATGCTCATCATTTAAAAGACCTTCCCATTCTCATATAAAATCACCTTAAGAAAAAGTAGCAAAAGCAAGATTATTAATAAGTTGGCACTTGATAATAACATCCACAAAACAAGTCATAACAGTAAACAGGAAATTAGTCCATCAATGAAAATTGAAACATTCCAACATCGATAGTGCCAAAAAGCTTTGGAGGGAAGTTCACCAGATTCTATTCGAAAGAAATTTGAGCTGTCTTAGAAGCCTTGGGATAGCTCATAATTCTTCTGATCATGACCTCTGGACAGTTGAAAGGAGCTTTTGTTGGTAGTTCCTCAGTTAATGATATTGTCACGTTCTTCAAGAGCTGTGCTCTAGTGAGTAAATAAGCCAACATCTCCATTATTTGATTGCTATTACCATCAAAATTTGTTATCTTCGCTTCAATCAGATGATTGCTGATACATTCATGAATGCCCCATTCACAGAATACGAAATCAATTTCTTCCGCTTCTGGGATCAACTCAAACTGAACATTTATTCAAATGATACACAAATAATTAGTTCTTATGAGAAGTATAATAAAGAATTCCTATAATGATGAATTCGAAAAACTGTTTTTCATTGACAAACTGTTGTACCTTTAGGTCGATGGTAATGTCTCCAACACTTATGAACAAAGTTTCACGGCAGAATGATATCCGAAGCACTCCAAATAATAGATTGAGGAAGCTCGTATCGATCCGTTTGGTCTTCACCTTTAGATGGCGCAGGAAACATAGCGGTGGGAATTTTCCTTCTTCCTCCGGAATGATGACATACTTGGCCAATGTAAATCGATTCAGAGAAATTAAGAGAGTTAGATTTATTATACTTCTTTTAAAACATTTCAAATACCAAGAGCTGTAGCTACTTATATTTATTAAGATTTCCTCTAAAGAATCATTTTAAGACATTATAAGATCATGTCTGATACTTGCTAACCCATATGTGTTAATTGTTGATAGAAGAACTTGAAAGACACAATGTATATGCACAATAGAAAAAGAAAAGGAAAACTAATAGGAAAAAAAAAATAGATTATTTGAACAAATTAATAAATTGGTGAATATGTATGCATAATTCTTAGGGAATTCCTTCGTTCAGATTCAATTAGACGGTTGTGTCTTCACCTTTGTGTTCAATGTCACAGTAACTGCCTCAATTGAACAACACCCTAATGAAGGATACTTTTAAGACTCCTCTGAACAAAAAAAAAAAAAAAAAATAGAAAACATAAATTACTGCATACCTTGGTCGATTGGCTGATAATCGTGAGGGATTTTGCCTGTTCAAAGTTCCGGAGAAGCGTCTTGAATTTGGTTATTAGGTCAGGATCATCAATTTGATTTCTGGGTTTCTTAAAATGTAACTCGGCAACGAGGTCACTGGATGAAATTATGGGCGAAATTTCAATCAGCAGGCCAATGTATTGGNAAAAAAAAAAAAAAAAAAAAAATAGAAAACATGAATTACTGCATACCTTGGTCGATTGGCTGATAATCGTGAGGGATTTTGCCTGTTCAAAGTTCCGGAGAAGCGTCTTGAATTTGGTTATTAGTTCAGGATCATCAATTTGATTTCTGGGTTTCTTAAAATGTAACTCGGCAACGAGGTCACTGGATGAAATTATGGGCGAAATTTCAATCAGCAGGCCAATGTATTGGAAACATACTAGTTTTGGAGCCTCGATCTCACCATCTTCCACATAGAAGCATGAATCAACAACCAAGCTCTTCATTGTTGAACTGATTACCTTGATGTGCTTGAAGTTGTTACAAGATTTCAGGTTTAAATTCTCAAGGAGGCAATTAGACAGCAAGCCCCAAAGAGAATCATCTATCAAGCCACTGTATCCAACTAATGTGAGGGTTCTGAGGGTGGCAAAAAACGTGCCGCCAAAGAGTCTCAATAGGCAGCGTCTGTAGCCTTCGGTAAGTATTAATGTCTCAAGATTTGGAGCATTCATCTCCAACAGCCCCTTGAACTCGCAATTCTCCACCTCGAAACGCTTGAGCTTTTCCAAAAGAACTGAAGGCATTTCCCCAAATGTAGAATTCACAAGTTTCATTGTCTCAAGATTTGGGAATCTTGATAACATATAAAAAAAAGGCCCAAATGTTATTTTCACAAATGATAAGACTAGCGTTTCAAGGGAGAACAAACCTTTAGCATTGGAAACCTTAGAGTTCGATATTTCACATAAACTAACGTTAGGGAAAGAACCATCGTCCTCATTGACGAGTTTGTAAACGCCGTTGTATTTGAAATAATTTAGGCTTTGAGCACCTATCTCAAGAGCTTTGATTTCCTTGCAACGGATCACAACTAAGCATCTTAGTTTAGGGTTATAAACCCTTAGAGTATCAAACCCAGTACAGGTTTCTAGTTTCACGGTATGAATTTGGGGAGAACTACTGATCATAGTTCGGAGCATCCGGTCACTTACATGTACAGATCTCATAAAAAGATTTTTGAGTGACGGGAAACTCACCACATCATAGGCTCCGCACCGGCAATCTTCCAATATTAAAGTAACTAGAGACGATCCAGAAGAGAAAATTATTTTTGGCAAGATGTAACCATCAAAGGTTTCAGTTTCACGGTTGAATCGGCTTACCAAGGTCAAATGTACCTCCTGCACTTTACCTTCCAATGCTGAAGTTATACATGCAGTGATGTGTTGATCAAGCCCATCTTCCAAGAGTGAGGTTGTGTGAATCCGTAGCTTCTGTATGTGACTTGAGTCACGGCGTGAAAAGGATTGTTGCATGTGCTCAAGAAATACTTGTGTGTGTGTTTGTGTACCACGGGAATGATGCCAGGCTTCATCAAATTCAAAAATTGGGAAAGTTAACCAGAGAGACTCCCACTTCTTTGACAAGATCCCCATTTTGGTAGCGTCTTTTGCTGGCAAGAAGGACATGATGTGATGGATCAGAGGGTTCGGAAGATTGCTGATCCTATCAAACCCTAATGCACGCACAGCTTCTTCATGACTCATTTCCACTGGTTTCTCCTCATTTTCTCTCTTGATTAGTTGTAATATGCGACTGTCTTGATACCATATGCTTGATTCATCATCACTGATCTTCATTCCTTGGGAATTATCTGATGATTCTTCATCACTGAGTTCCATGAGTGACTATCTTTATCTTTGTTGGTAGGTAGATAAGCTTTATGGAAACTGATAAAGAAATGGTCTGAATAGGGTTTCAGGCATCTCCATTTATATTGTCCTGTCTTGATGTTAACGCCCACAGAATAACCCTCCTGGTCCGAACCAAATTTAGTATAAGAGCACAAAAAACAAAAAAGTTTTTCCTATGTATTAATTGGACATTAAAAGCTGTCTTATCTTTTCTTTTCTTTTTATATGATATTTACATGTACAAATTTTTTCATTCAAACTAATTTATAAAATATCCTTATATTACATGTAAATAAAGTATTTTCTTTTTCTTTTTTCAGATTATACATACATATTTGTCTTTTGTTTGTGTAAACTTTGGTAGTTGGGAATGGAGGTGGACCCAATTTCCTTACCTTTCCTCGTGAAGGTAAAGTTCTCACCAAAGGAAAAAACCCTAACAGCAAAAACTAGGAAACAACTGAAGTATAAAGCCTTAAACAGTAGCATCAATCTTCCTGCAGCCGTTATTGAATTGTGAAAAATGACTAGGATAGTTGATTTATTTATTAATCTTGTCATATCTTCTTGTAAAACTTTGTATTTTTATGAAGGACAGCTAGGGTTAGCGTGGATTTCATTCCATATTAGGTTTGGTGGTTTCTGGTCCTTCAAGCGGATAACCTGACTTATATGGAAAACTGAAGAGTGATTGAGTTAACAAAATTAGGAAAATTAAATGGAGTTGTTCCGGCTTTTTTACCCAACAAGTAATTTTGGGGCTGAATCTTTCTAGATCAAACTAGGGATTAAATTTTTGGAATGTCATCCTGACTCTTTCTTGATCAAATTAGGGATTCAAATTTTTTAGAATATCAGTCTGATTGAGTAGTCTTTTCTATAACAGAAGTTTAGAAGATGTAGGTTTTGAACTGTACAAGAGACGCTCTTATTATCCGAGGAGATAAACCCACGTATGCTATTGGAAGGTAATAGAAATTCATAACCCAGCTCTTACTTATTCTTCTTGATTTTCTCACTTTGAGAATTTCATCAGGTGGGAATATTAGATTTAATTGAAAAAATTGATAGTGCGTAAATAGAGAATAATTTAAACACAGATCCAAGTTAAAGTTAAAGTTATATATATGATTTACAGTTGAAAGCTTTATATCTGTAGATTTTTAATTACTTGTACATTTCAGGATTCAACCGGAGAAATAGTAATCAGCAGAAGACTAAAAATTACCTACAGTGATAGCCAAGGTACTTGTATTTGAAAGAGCTTTGAGTATGGGGTTGAACTCGAGATCGTCGAATCATTATTTTATTAACAGTTGGTTTCTTAATCATTATTATTTCTTTCTTTGGTTTCTATCTATTTGTGTTATCAGTTGGATGTGCTCCTTGTATCTGTATGTTGCACATTTAATTTCAATTATTGGTGAGGATGTTAATTAATCTATGATTCAATGTTACTTAAGATCTGCTTTGATATAATGGTAAGTATAATTTATTTGGCTGATTTTTGAGACAATTGGATGCTTCGTATCTTTATATTGTCGTATATGTAATTATTAATGAGTTCGTTAATTCTGTTGATGTATCTTCGAATAATTTATGATAGTTTAGGAATCATCGTTCACGTGTCATATATCTTTATATATAGATTCAAAACATTAATGCTCTTTAATGATGTTTAGTGTACGAATTTTTTGGAGGTTTAATCTCTTATTCTTTGATCAACATCATTCATCATGATGCATATCTAGAATTTGGAATAGTTTTTGAAGGTGTTTTATTTTATTCTTTATATATAAGCACAATGTGCTAGCTTGTACTTATTATTATCTTTCAAAATTCATATTTGCTCAAGACAATTGGGTGTTCAATAGAGATCTTAAATTTCATATATGTTTGTTTTCCACATTAATTTGGTATCTATTTGAGACAATAAATTAGATGTTCACTCTCTTGATATAATCGTTACTAAAGATGCTAAATGATCTACTATTATATCTTCATCGTATATATATTATATTGGGTATATTAATTATTTCATTTGTTGATATATTTCTTACATATATACTGAAAATTCAGGGCTAAAACAGGAAAGCATTGGCTAAAGCTCTCTTCACAACTAACTTTGAGTTTAAATTTGACAAATTAATTTAAATATTGTTCTTCTGATCCATAGATATATATGGTTTGAGTTTGTTTGCATTCAAAACCAATGTATATATCTGCTAGCTTCCTTAAGTAACCTTATTTTTAATATCTCTAAATGTAATTTGACTCATGATCATGGAGATGATGATCAAACCTCATTTCAGGCTATGAGAGGGAGCATTGTATATATCGAATTTAAGGAAAGTTGTGCTCCTGATGAAGTTGAAAACTGCACTGCTATAGCTCCAGTAAGTCTACTTATAACTTGCTCTCTGCCAATCACTGCTCTTTATTTTTTTCTGTCTTGTTTTAGTGTTTACTATTATTGTATTGTTGAGTTAGTAAAGAGGATAAAATATCAAAACTGGGCATTAATTTGGTACCGTGCCAATGAATATTTACCACTAGATTTTTCCTAGATTAATAGGCATACAAACCTCATCTGCAGAGACTTGAGAGTATCAAGTATATATTTTCGATCTTAGATAGATATTTCTCTTATAGTTCCCTCTCAATCTTGCACAAACTTTGTCATTCACACACCACTTTCATAGAAATCAAACACACAATATTGAAGAGGAAAAAAAAACATATAGGCCGTGTCAGTGTGTATTTATATTGACGAATCTCCATTTAGGGCACTAAATAATAAAGATTGGTGGAGCAGAATCATAAGTTGTGTTTGGAAGATGCTTTTTAATCACGAAATATTGATACAGACAGCAAAGAAACTAGGGTTTCAAAATTCAAACCACATTCAAGCCCACAAAACCCCAATCTTGCCTAACATACAAACCAAAAGCAAAAGGAAAGATTGATATATAGTTGTAATGTCAAATTATTCCATTTTATTTTGGATCTGTGTTTGTATTCCCCAAAACAAAGTACTTCCATCTTTTTAAACTCTCTCCATACATTATTTCATTGGCTTATTTTTTATTCCAAAGAATTTAATATAGACATGAAAGTGAAAATTAACACACACACACATAAAATCCAAACCGAGTTGAAAAATCATCATAAACAAGAGCAGGTTAGGTTCTCTATTTATTAGACTTGTGTTTTTGTTCATTTTCCGGAGCCTATCCTGAGGTTGGATGATCGGTTTTTTAATGACCTCTCTGTACATTATTTCTCTCTTTTAATGATACTACTTACTTCCCAAAAAAAAAAAAAAAAAAATCATTACAAATTCAATTGATATAAATCAAATATGAAGTAGTGGCTAATAACTACCCATGAACTGCTTTATAACCATGGTCTCTAGGCAACTAATGAAGATTTTACTTCTTTTTCTACAACCAAAAAGAACTGGAAACTGATTGAGATTTTTTCAATCATCAGAAACAAGAGAAAAGAAAGTACATTGGATATTTATCTAGACTCCCCATATTTTTTCAATCAATTTTAAAGTTATATTAAATTGTCAATAATGTTATCACTTTCCTAAAAATATCCAAGTTTACTAATTCTTCTGCCAAAAGGCTAACCGAGAACTAGGTACCTTACTGGATCCCAAATTGACCAAAAATTGTACGGAAGAATACATTAGTTACCTATTAATTTATTTTGAGGAATACTGCCACTGTAGTCCTCTTCATGTCCAATAAAATGCCGTAAAACAACTTTCTCTCCACAACAACAAAGAAGAAAGAAGATTTTCTTCTTACGCCGACTGTGAAACAACAACCACATATATATAAGGGAATGCATTTTCTTTCTTTTTCCCTTTTTTTCAGGTTAGTTTAAAAGTTTAAAACTAAATTGGTATTTCATTTAGAACTACTCTTGAAATTGTCTCAAACTTTAGGAGTGCTCTTGATTATCAATATGATGAACAAAATGAAAGCAGTATTTAGGTACAACAAAACACATTCAATCTCAAAAACTCTTACAACCATAAAAGACCCAACAATGCGATATAATATATTATAGAACAACATATACCAGAAAAACCTAAAGTAAAAATTACTACAGGAAACTCTTAAGAGAAAAGAAAAACTAAATTCTCCTAAGATCCAAGATAATTAATTAATAGAAAACATGCATTCTTCAATACATGGCGAGTGCCAAAAAACAAGTATTATAATGCCAACATTAAAATCTTGCAAACTGTTTTTAAGATCCACAAACATCCATAAAAAGTTGGTTGACAACAAAGATAACTAATTCAAATTTCAAAACATTCTCATCCAAAATGGAAAAAACTAAAACAACAGTCTACATAGATGACATTCAAATTACACATCTAAATTACACAAGTCTCAAAATATTGACTAGCTGATTGTGCTTTTTTACATGTAGCTTAGAGTGCTTCTATCATCTGACTACACGATGCTCGATTGATCATTAGAAATACAGTCACAGCCAGTAGCATCATGTTTCTATAGTTTCCAACCTCATTGCTTTTCTTCCAAAATAATCCATAAGCCTCATCCTGTCACTTTCACTAAAGTTCTCCATCGAAACTTTCTTCAAATGATGTCGCCAACACTTTATAATCCGTGAATGGCAGCAGGTTAGGTCCATCTCTTCCATAACCGAAGACTTAGCATATTGGAACTGCAAAATAGATTATGTTAGTGTACTCAGAATTGATAATTGGAGTTGATATGCTTTGAAATAGGTCAAAGAGTTCAGTGATTTGTTGATTTCAGAGATAGAAACAATTGAAATCTGAAACATATACATAAGAGTGTTTTGTAAAAGTTCGTAAACAGAAAATCTATATTACCTTTAAGGAGCTCTCTCCACCACCGGAGCCTGAATCAATAATGGACATAGTCTCTAAAAGAGGAGAAAGCCAAAGCAAGCCATCCACCAAACTTATGATGTCCTTCAATTGTGCTTCTATTTTTACCTTCAGATGCTTGACATCAAACAAGGGTGGAAGTAAAGTGTCTCTCAAATCTTCGGGAAAAATCAAAAACTGAAAAGTTGTAAATGAGTCAGTCTGAAGAATGTAATGTGCACACTATACATACACAAGTCCCCTTAATCTGTCTGCCATCATCAAAGAGTCCTAAAAAGATGTATTATTAGATTCATATCCTTTTAAGACTTTTAAATCTTCCTTTAAAGAATTTTAACATTAATTATCAAGAAAATTATAACACGGAATGCAAATTATAGTACATGTTATAACAAAATCAGTTAACAATAGGAAGTAAAAGTTAAAAGGAATTCATACCGTAGGATAAAGATTTCTCCTCGGAATGCAGTTAAGTATCAACAATTTGCAATGATCAAAGTATCCAAGAAAATTTCTCAGTTTGTTGTACCATTCGTCCGATGAGGTGATATATCTACCGGAATCCACAGTGAGTTCAGCTTCTAAATGAGGAGAATCAACCGATAGAGGCGACTTTAGCACTTTACCCTCATACCTAAAGTAAATGAGGTTTGGAGCATAGATTACTGCTTTCTCCAATATGGAGCAATTAATCAACTGGAAACTTTTGAGTTGTTCATGAGAAACTTCAAGAGTTCTCAACATATCACAGTAACACAACCGAAGGCTTTCAAGAAGAGGTAATTGAGATAACCTTTCTTCAATCCACCTCGCTTCTACATTAGCGCCATATAACTGAAGGTTTCTAAGGAGCCTACAGGCTGTGATCTTGATTTGACACGGTCTGGATTGCCCAAAATACACGAAAGACTGAACATTCTGAGCAACAATTTCAATCTTCCCTAATACAGCACACCTTTTAATCTCCACTACTTTGACTTCAGGATTAGGAATATATATTTTTTTCAATCTTTTGCACTCAGAAAGTATCAAATTCTCAAGCAAAGTAAGCTTAGAAACATAGTTATCAAACCACTCACTAGTAATTTTTGGAGCTCCCCTTATTGCTAGGTTGGTAAGCGAGTGACAGTCCGCTGGGTTAATCTGGCAATTCTCGTACTCCCCACCGCCCGAATGTTTTCCTGTGAATGAAAATGATCGAAGATTTGACTTTGAAATATCAATCTGCAATAGGCCACCACAACTTTTTACCTCCAGGATTTTAAGTTGACCATTGGAAACCCTCAAATTATTCAACCCAGCACAGCTTATGAGACTCAATTCTTCAATCAAAGGAAACTTTTCGAGATCTAGTGTCTCCAAATTGAACCCTTTCAGCTTCAAAACCTTGACTGAATCGACAGAAAACAAAACCGATGGCAATTTGTAGTATAAATCGTTAAAATTATTGGTGTGCAGAAGGTGTAGATCTAATTCTTTCACCTTGTGCTCGATTGCATAACTTATTGCCCCATCAATACGATTGTCAGCCTCCATACTACGAAGTACAACTAGTAGCCTGAACTTCTCTACACATATATTCGGTGCACGACGTTGGAGAGAATCACGCACGAAATCCAAGAACTGGTCTATTGCAATATTGTTTCGAAATTCTGTGAAGTCGAGATCAATGATCGGAAAAGAAGTCCAGGCAAGCCTGAATCTCTTAGACAAGACAGTGGTTCTAGCAGCATCTTTGGTTGAAAGCAATGAAAGAACATTATGAATGATGTGTTCGGGCAAATCCGATATGATAGTCTCTTTAACCATTGATGATTCCAATTTCTTTCTCGGCCTCATCGCAGACATGAGTTATGTATGCATAGATATCAATATATGATAAAGCTGGTTGTGGGGTTAGTGAGGGAAGATTTTGTGAGTTACACTAGGGTTTTGATTTTTGTACAAGAAAAAGAGTTACAATAGAGCAAAAAAACATATATAAGAAATAATCAGTGAGCATCAAATCTAGCATTATATATGGCAAAAAAATAGTTGAAATATGGCAATAAAATAGGGACGATTAAGTTGAATTAGACGTTTTTTAACACTTTTAATTTGTCTAAAATAAAAATTAAAAATCGTTAATTTTTTTTTTAATTTTGTGTTGGGTTATTTAAATAATTCCGCACTGAAAATCGGATCCAATAGCATATGAATCACGTTAGATATAAAGTTTGACGTGTGAAAGAAGAGCATAGCCAATGGAAGAGTGTGTGTATGAATTGAGTGAAGCTGCCAATAGTCTAATGTTAAGTGATCTGATGCCGCGCGTCGAGTCAGCACAGCATGCAACTTCATGCACAGGGTCCAATGTGGTTTATTGACACCAACACAGAAACATTAATACCCAGGTATGCATTTAACTCATCCTTCTATTTTTGTAAAAATCTCATTCATGCATCATTAATTTCCTTGTAATTCTGCGCTGTCATCTTAATTAGGTTGCCCTGGCACCCAAACTGCCTGACGTCTACACCAATCCAGTATTTTCTGACTAGATATTTATATCATTTCCATATATATCACTTTTTTATTTTTTTTTATTATTATTATATTTATTTTTCCATTTTTTTTATGTCACTTATTTGTTTTTAGGTTTCATATTAAGAATCAAACTTGTTTTCTAATAATTTTAATAAAGAATCTAGTTATTTTAAGAAAGATTATATTAGTTAATTTTTTTTTTTTTTTTTATGATTTCTTGTTCTAGTATCAGATTTTCTTTTTAATTCTAATTCATTTTTATTGTAGTATTAGGATTACTTTATAATTTTTTTGAAGCTTTTTTCAGTATTGTGGTAGATTCAGGGGTTATTATTTGTAGATTTATACTAGATTTAGGAGTTATTATCCATAGCTTGGGTTAGATTCGGGAGTTATTGTTAGTGGATTTGGACTACTACACTAAAACGAATATAATGCTTATCCAAATTCCTTTTTTTTTTAATTTTTGGCTAAGTATGCTTATCCAAATTCGTGTATTCTCTTACTTAATTTTCATATATAATCTCGTATTTATTATAAACCTTCATTTAACACTCAAAATTACAATTTCCTTCCATACATAGAAAGTGCTATACTTAAAATTTTACAAATATGTAGAAATATGTGGAAAGTGGCATGCTTAAACTTTTAGAAATTTCATTTAGTGGCAATTATACACTCACCAGTTCTATAATGTTCTTGTCACTGTCACTGTCAAATATAAGGGTGTGTTCTCAAGTATTCTTAAAATTTTAACTATGATCTTGTAGAGCAGTGTTATTCTTAATTGGAATAATAAGAAAAAAACAGTATAATACTGTATAAAAACTTCAATAAACTTGTACATGTGCAAAACCAAGTTGTCGATCATAAATTTATCTTGTAAATTATATATCTCAATTGATGTAACATTATTTTCGAGGTAAATATAATGTCAATCTTGTGTATACAAAGTGAAATATAGATCTTATTATTTAAGATATATTTTAATTTGAATAAATTTCATGCTTTCCAACTTTTGAATACAAAATGATGTAACATTATTTTATGGGTGTGTATGAATTACATGATTATTTGATTCATATTCTATACCTCTAATATGATATTACAACATTTATTGTACTACTCTATTTTAAAGATTTATTATAATATTTTGAATGATAAATTAGCATTTATTACTAAGCTATTTTATTACTATTTATAGGTGCCCTAATTAAGACATGCTAAAATAAAATATTTAGTTGTTCATAAACATTAATAAAAGGTTAAACATTTTCAGGAATGTTTAACCATACATTATGGTAAGGGTGGAAAAAACCAGTTAACCGGTATCTTGAACCGAACCGGATTTTGGTTTCAAAAAAAATTTGAACCGAAACCGGTTTGGTTTAGGTTATAAATCGGTTTATAACCGAACCAAAAATTCGGTTCGGTTAACCGGTTTTAAATCGGTTAATTATGATAGGCTGCATTTGTTCGACCCAATTCGGTCACACCCTCCACTTTGGCCCATTTTTTTTGCGACCCGATTAAGTTACGTTGATATCAAAACTGGAAGATTTTTTCTTCATGTAACCGGTGGATCCAATCACCTCTTCCTATATATACTCAATCACCACCTAATACAAGTACCCAAATATTAAACCAACTGTTAATTAAAAAAAAGGGAAATACTGATTAGAATAATAACAATATTTACTACTATTTCTCTTTTTCTTTTTCCTTCATCAATTAATCAATGCGACGGTAGTAAGCCAACGACTTGGTGAAGGAAGAAGAATGGTGACTGCCGACTGTTGAGCAAAAGATCGGTGAGCAAAGATCAGTGGCATGAGCAACGTGAGAAATTTGTGTGGCTATTGGCCAAGGCGTGACCGCATGAGAACAGAGAACTGAGAGATAGTGAGAGTCCGAGAAAGAGTGAGAGAGTGAGAGTGAGAGTGAGAGATTGAGTCATTGAGAGTTACTGAGGTGAGTGAGGTCTGAGTACCGTGAGGCGTGAGTAGTGAGTAGTGAGTTTAAGTTAGCCAGTTAGGCTGTTAGGGATTGCAAAATCAAAAACCAAAAATGCATAATTTTTTTTAAAATTCGGTTTAGAAAACCAGTTTTGGGTAACCGGAATTAATTTTACCAAAAACCAAAACCGAACCGGATATTCGGTTTTTTAAATAATCGAACCAAAAAAAAAAACAGATTTTCGGTCCGGTTCAGTTTTCAGGTTTTTTTTCCAACCCTACATTATGGTAATAGCTATTTATGATAAAACATTAAAAAATTATATAAGTTTCCAAATTATATAGCACCTAATTATGTTGAGTATATATATAATTTAAACACAATTTTTATGCCTTAAAGTATAAATAACATGTAATGTCCAATTCCAATATAATGTAGATTTTATTAAAATAAAGTATGATTACATTCATTTAAGCCCAAAATTACAAATCCCCTTGCTGGGTCATAAAGTTCTGGACCCCCATTATTTTTTCAGCCCAAAGCAGCACCATCCAATAAGGCGGTGGTTAAGAACAATCGGGAAACACACAGGCATTCTAGTAATAAAGTATAACCTATCGTAAGAGTCCAGAAAGATTCGAATTATATCTAAACCGCCCCCAACGCTACATTATAAAAAGAGGTAAGCTTTCTTGCGCGTAAAGCAATGTTCATTTATTTTTCTTGAGAACAAACCAAACGCGCAAATGGCGAATGCTGTTGCGGCCGGGGTCTCCGCCCAGAGCTGCCACAACGTTCTCAAGCCTTCTCCCTTTCTCACTCCCGTAATCCTCTCCGCATACGCCGCTTCTCGGTAAGCACTAAGCTCTCCTATGGCTACGTTTTTCTTTCTTTTTTGGTATTGTATTAGGTTTTGACTCGTTCTTTTATCAGAGTCAAAAGGATTTTAAGTTGTGTTCGATTGTTCATAGATATCAAGGTTCTGTTTCTTTTATGTGTATATATATTGGGAATGGTTTGACGTTCTAGTTATGGTTTCGGCAACTTGGAGCTTTGGCTCTCTTTCTTTTTTCTTTTTCCTTGTTTACTGCTTATTTTTTCATCATTTTGATTTCGGCCTTTTCCCTTTGTTCGCCGGGCTATGTTTCGGGTGTCTTTTTCCATGCCTTCGGTGTTTTTATTGATTTCCGCATTGCTTGCTTTTGGCTTTGAGGTACAATCTAGACGTAATTTATTAGTTTTAAAAATCTTTATAAAAAAATATCTAAAGAAAATGTGCGGTTTGTTGGAAGTTTTAGAAAATAATTTGGGTATGTAATCTTAAATAATACTGTGAAATTTTAAATTTGAGAAAATCCTTTTCACGTTTTTTTCCTGTAAGATTGTATAAGAAACTGTATTCTGGAACTCTAAATTGTTTTAAGTTCTGTTTCTGGATGACAAATCAAACATCCTAACCAACCACAAATAAAAGCTAAAAGCCAAGTAATTAGTGTCCTTCACAGCTTTATTTCAAGTGTGGTAATTAGTGTTCTTTGTTTCAACCCAAGGAATCAGAGTCAAAATTATCGAAAATCAAATTGATGCTGTTGTATCATGACCCCATTTTGTGAAATTATGTCTAGAACTACTTTTAATGGGAAAGAAAATTTTATATAGTTTTGAAATTAGGTGCTGCATTTTTCTTTGCCAACTTTTGGAGATTTGGTCCTAAAAATGTTGTGAAATTCACAAGAATATACTGATGGTGCTTTGCATTTGACAATGATTCCGGGGTCTAGTGTTTGAAACCTTGGTTTGCTTCTCAAGTCTAATTGGTTCGTTGGCTTTACATTAGGATATTGTAACTAATGCTTCATTTGTGTGTTAACGTTTGTNGACCCCATTTTGTGAAATTATGTCTAGAACTACTTTTAATGGGAAATAAAATTTTATATAGTTTTGAAATTAGGTGCTGCATTTTTCTTTGCCAACTTTTGGAGATTTGGTCCTAAAAATGTTGTGAAATTCACAAGAATATACTGATGGTGCTTTGCATTTGACAATGATTCCGGGGTCTAGTGTTTGAAACCTTGGTTTGCTTCTCAAGTCTAATTGGTTCGTTGCCTTTACATTAGGATATTGTAACTAATGCTTCATTTGTGTGTTAACGTTTGTGTATTTTTTAAATAGCTTGTTACCCATTTTATGATATCTTTTGAGACTAGATATTGAAAAAAAAAAAAACAGGACTCATTCTTCATTTGCATCCTTGGTCTTTAATGCAGGTATAAGAATGTGATCGGAGAAAGAGTTTCCCAGACCTTCAAGTCTTATAAACCCTCACTTGTAGCGTGCAATTCAAGTGTTTCAGATTATCCCATTCTGTCAATTAGCAGAAGTTCACAGGGATCTCAAAAAGATCACGCATTGTCTACAGGTATACTTGCGGTTATCCTTTTTTTTTTTTTATTGCACCTTGAAAAAGTAATGATTATCATTCATGGAGCCATTTGGATCAGAGTATAGGAATACATCCTGAAATTTTGTTGATGAACTAATACATTGTTTATTATACTTGGCTGTAAATGAGTAGAATGATTCTTAGATGGAAGTGAAGTTGCCTTGAATAGAAGCCACTTCCTCTGCATGCTGTCTTGTTCTGTTCCTTCCATGAGCCGTAAAGTATGAGTGTTATGTGCCTTCTGCATTTTTATATTATTTGTCTTGACATTGTTTCTAGAGTAAATGTAATTACCAGGATGCGCACTTTTATCTGGCTCATTGTAGTGTTTCTTTTCCTAGATTTTCTGTTGGATCAAGTAGGTAATGCTCAAGGATATAAGTAGAAATTGCTGCTGTTTGTACAGATACATCTTGTGTGTAGAACACCAACTGGTATAGACTGATGAAGCAAACTATATATATAGAGAAGAAATTTAAGCTTTGCAAATTGTTTTGTATTGTACTTGTGTTATGCTTCAGCTCTTATGTTTGAACCCTCCTGACATACCAAGAAATGGAGGTTTTTGTTTTTTAAGTATGCACTGTTTTAACCATTCGTCCCTGAAGAAGTTAAATAATTGAACATCACATTATCAAGTGTTGGCATGTCTTTTTTTGTCTGAGATGGAAATGAATGCTGTGGATCATTGAAAAAAATTTTGACTCCTAATTTTTTTGCTATAATTATTAATTGACAGGAGTTCCAGGCTCCCAAGTTTCTTCAACATCTAGCCCCTTTATAGGTGGGGACCAAGGCGTGGTGTCACATACAAACCTCATTTTACCAAGGCATCGCATATCTCCAACGCTTCCCAGAGCAGCAGCTAGGGATGTATTTGGTTTTCGCTTACCTGTTATAACTGAGAAGCCAGAATGGTGGTGGAGGACTTTAGCATGTATACCCTACTTAATAGCTTTGCAGATATCTGATGTTGGGTTTTATCTCCAACCCTTCTCAGAACACTACGAGCTTTTCGAAAATTTGATTTATTTTGTTCCAGGAGCCATTTCAAGGTTGCCAAGCTGGTTCACGTTGGTATATTGCTATTTTGCCTATATTGGAATTGTGAAGAATAAGGATTGGCCTCACTTCTTCAGATTTCACTTGATGATGGGCATGTTGTTGGAAACTTCCCTACAGATAGTCTGGTATACATGCAATTTTATGCCACTTATACACTACAATGGTAGGTTTGGGATGCACTTCTGGGCAGGTGTCGGCTTCACTTTCATTACTGTCTTGTTGCAGTGCATTAGATGTGCTCTTGCTGGGTCGTATGTCCAGTTACCTTTAATTAGCGATGCTGCATTTATTCATACGTTATTCAATATAGGAGGTTACCACAGGCCTTTCTAAGAAATTTTTGTACTGATTGGCGGTTCTGGATTTTGGGGAAGGGCTACTCCTCTTGTGTAGTCCACTTGCCTATTTCAACACGGGAAGAAGATTATGTTTGAGTCTATGAATGAAGGGTGTAATAGTTACTCATCTTAGAAACTATTTTAGAATCAAAAGCCTATTGTGTGTTATTTATTTTAAGAATTCAAATATATTGTAGAATAATTTCCAAAGTAATCCTTGTGGTTGTGTATTATTATCTGTTCTTGGTTTTTCAATCTCTCTTTTTTCTTTCTTCAATCTGGTGATTGGATGAGTTACTAAACACCTAATAAGTTATAGGAAACTAATACATTAGCTAAAAAGCAAGATATAAATCCCACCGGGAAAATCACTTGAACATAAAAAAATATCAAGACTTTTCTGGGCTAATAGAGCAGCAGATCTTTCCTTTTCTTCCTGCTTTTTGAGTGTTCCAATGGAACCAGATTTCAGATCTTTCAGAGGCATTTTATGTACTGATTGTTGTGAGATCCCATATTTGAGGATTCATTAAATGTCTTCTGATTCATAGAGAACTATTGCATTGTATTTCTTTTCCACGTATCAATCATTTACCTTCGGGTTTTATAGAAAAATAAAAAAAAAGTAATAACAAATTTTGTTTGTTTCTTGGCACTTTTCTGTACAAGGGTGAAGTGAGTTTTTTACTTTTGGAGAAAAACAATAAAGTGTTGATGATGTTTTGAAAGCAGAGTCTCTTCTTTGTACTATTTGGCTACAATAATAGTATTAGGCTTAGCTGGTGGATGTCATCTTGCTCAAGCTCAGGCTCAGGCATCAAATCTAATTAGATTCAACATTGCTATTGAGAAAGCTTATAAAAGTTTAGGCAACAATCTAGTTAGATCCAACATTCCTCTTGAGAAAACTTTTAGGCAATATAGGTTACAATTTCATTAACGCAGGTAAAACATCCCGGTCCCAGTGCAGTTCGTCGGCTAGTTTGTGTTCACTTACACTTTTGTGATGATAAAAAAATACTCAAACTATACTAGAAAAAGATCGGGGCCTGTATAAATTCAAGCTGCTCCTCAAATAATTTATCATTTTCCCTTTTCGTTGGGTTAAAATGGAAACAAAGAATTTTATAATGATTTTGGAACTTCAATCTCCAAACGTCATGTAAATAGTCAAACGTTTGTATAATTCAAGCTAATGACATGGCAAGATCATAGCCGTTACTTCACCTTCCTAGTCAACTTCACTGAAAATGACGAGCTCAGTTAATGCTGTCTCTGCTCCTTAGAAAATTTAAAATAAAAATAAAATCTGAAAATTCATTAATTCACAACCATTTGTAATCCTCAACTGATTTGTGTCTTTGTCAAAGAAAATGAAATAAATAGAGAAAACAAAACAAAAGCTCTGCTTCATTTTACTTTCTAGTGATTCACAAGCACATCTATCAAATTCAATTCCAGAAACTCTAAATTTTCTCTTATTCATACCCAAAACCCTAATCTCTTTCAGATCCCCAGCGGTCGTCTCTGCTGAATCCACCAAACTGTTTCAAGATTTCTTCAACTTTCTTGAGAAATTATTTTAATTTTCCCGGGAAAGATAGAAAAGGTTGAGTTGAGGTTTGGCAGTTGAGATGAGGAGAAGAGCAGCGGATTTCAGAAGGCCAGTGAGGAGGAGGATATCAAATGTGGTGTGGTGGACATTGTGTGGGATTGTCGTTTTGATCTTCATTGTTATTTTGAGCAAAGAGACTAAGATTGAATCCCGACCCACTTTTCCGAAGGTCAAGATCTTTTCTTTTTTACTTTTATTTAGTTTCTAATTTGAGATTCTGGGTTCTGTTTGGTCCCTGAGAAAGCGTCGGGAAATGGGAGGAATTATAATTTTTAGTTTTGGGAAACCATTTTGCTCAACTGGGTTCGGACTTACTATTATCATTCGGGTTAAGAAATATCAAATTTCAGTGATTAAACCAACATTATGCTTATGTGACACATGAATTTTCTGTTTGATGTGGCATTTTATGTGTGATTTGTGTGGCTGATTATTTGTTATATTGGATCTAAGCCACGCGCATATATAGACTAGTACGAGTTTTCTTATTTTCGTCCTAATCGGATTTCTGTTCAATGCATTTGGTCATGGATTTTTTATGTATCTAAGGATGTTCTTTTTTCCTTTCTGAAGAATGTTTTTTCTTGGTTGAGGAACAGTAGTTGGTTACTCCTTCATCCTTGATAGAATAAATGATTGCCTTTCACATTTGCTGATAGTTGCCATATGCAGTTTTAAGTTTTTCAATCCGCAGTGAGCTTAAGCTGGAACAAAATTTGGTAGACATATTGAAGAGCTAATATGAATTCCCCATTGTTACAAGTTCACTTTTTATTTAGGTGATCCATAATTTTGGGTCAACTGTGTGTATACTATAATTTTGGGTCAACTGTGTGTATACTATTTTACCCATAGTAAGTTATATTAAGAGGGTAGGGAACAGTAGATGACTGTAATATGTTTACAGAGGAGAACTGATAAGTACAACACGATATGCTGTACATAGTGAACAAAAAGTTTGGAAGATATAGTTCGGACCCTGGATCAATTGATGGAAAGGTCTAACTGTCTAGGATGAGGAAACATTACTATTAGGAATACAAAATTCATATTACATGTTGCTGTGAGTTGTATAGAAGTTCTTGAAATCTTCTCGATCTTTGAATGCTTTATGGAAGCAAGTTTTTGTGTCTAGTTTCAGTCGCTTTCTATTTTATAATAACTTAAACTCGTGAAGTGGTCAATAGAAAAATTTTCAAACCAGGTGAAACTGAACATGAGAGCTGAACCCCTGGATTTATAAAGTAGGTGGCTGACTTCTAAAATTGTGTTTTATTTACCTTTGTAATTCTATTTTATATTCTTTGTGTACCCTACAATTTTATAAGTCAAGATTTTCATTAGGTGCATATTGTGAAGTATTTTTTAACTTGATTTATGTTATTCTTTTGATTTTCGCAAACATTTTCAAGGCTTTTAAGGTTGGGTAACTTACAGTCAAAAATCGTTAGGGAGAACATGTGAACCATAACTTGGTAACACAATAATATACTTGCCCTCCCTTACAACTTCTAATTTGTTAATTTTCAAGTTCAATGTTGCATCTTCATTTATAAAAAACAAAGTGGCTGTGCATCATGTGCCTTAAAAATATATACTTCATCTGATCTGGATCTTTTGTTAATATGATGGTAGCAAGGTAATGGTAAGCTCATATAGATAATGTAATGGGGGATTTGCAAATGTGCCTACTGCGCTTTTTTTTATCCCCATCTCTGTGGAAATGGTGCGTAAAAGATACTCACCTGTTTCCCACATTCATTGGAGCTTTTATGCACTGAGCACAATGCCATTTTTAATATTTTTGATGTGATGATCTTCTAGTGTAATTTGTCTTTTTGATGGAAGATGTTTGTCCAATTGAAAGTAATAGTGTTTATTGCTTTGCTTTACTGGTAATAATGAAAAATAAAATAAATCTTTTGTGCTATTGAATCGCACATTCTCTATCAAAATAGTTCATGATTAAATTATGCAGTCTCTGTAAAAAAATTCATGATTTCAATTAAGTAGTCTCTATCAAAATATTTTTGATTTAAATTATGTGGTCTGGATAGTAAATATTTGGGATCCTGCTGTTTAGTGATGTTAGCATTGTCCTATTGTATCTTGTGAAACATGTTAAATTTTGCTATCTCTTGTACTGAGAATGGCAACTGCTATACCTTTAAGTTTTACTAGGTCATTGCAAAAGTTTAAGGAAATTTGTGCTATTCGTTCTTTTCAGAGATCTGACAGGCATGAGAGGATAATGGAAGGTCTGAACATCACTGATGAAATGTTGAATGCTAACTCAGTTACCAGGCAACTTACTGACCAGATTTCTCTTGCCAAAGCATTTGTCGTGATTGCCAAAGAAAGCAACAATCTTCAATTTGCTTGGGAATTAAGTGCCCAGATCCGCAATTCACAATCCCTTCTTTCTAACGCTGCGACAAGACGAACTCCTTTGACAACCAGAGTATCAGAAACTGCTGTCCGTGATATGGCACTTCTACTCTACCAAGCTCAGCAACTTCATTATGACAGTGCAACTATGATCATGAGATTGAAAGCCAAAATTCAAGCTCTCGAAGAACAGATGAGTGCTGTGAATGAGAAGAGTTCAAAATATGGACAAATTGCCGCTGAAGAAGTCCCAAAAAGTCTTTACTGTCTTGGTGTTAGGTTAACAACTGAATGGTTTGGAAATATAAATTTGCAGAGGAATTTTGAGAGAAAGCAAATGGAAGTGAAACTTATAGATAACAGTCTCTATCATTTCTGTGTTTTTTCCGACAACATTTTGGCAACTTCAGTTGTGGTCAATTCAACTGCTTTAAACTCAAAGAATCCAGATATGGTTGTCTTTCATCTTGTAACTGATGAAATAAATTATGCTGCAATGAAGGCCTGGTATGCTCTTAACAGTTTTAGAGGAGTAACTGTTGAGGTTCAGAAGTTTGAGGACTTCACATGGTTGAATGCTTCTTATGTTCCAGTACTTAAGCAGCTTCAAGATGCTGAAACACAGAGCTATTATTTTTCTGGCAGTAGTGGTGACGGGAGGACTCCAATCAAGTTTCGGAACCCTAAATATCTTTCTATGCTTAATCATCTGAGGTTTTATATTCCAGAAGTTTTCCCTGCACTGAAGAAGGTGGTTTTTCTTGATGATGATGTCGTTGTTCAGAAAGACCTGTCTGGTTTGTTTTCCATTGATTTGAATGGTAACGTCAATGGAGCTGTCGAGACATGCATGGAGACATTTCATAGAAATGATAAATACTTGAATTACTCTCACCCTCTTATACGTGAACATTTTGATCCTGATGCCTGCGGATGGGCATTTGGGATGAACGTGTTTGATCTGGTTGAATGGAGGAAAAGGAATGTAACTGGTATCTACCATTACTGGCAAGAAATGAATATAGACCGGACATTGTGGAAACTTGGAACTCTGCCACCTGGACTTTTGACATTCTATGGCTTGACAGAACCATTGAGTCCTGCTTGGCATGTACTAGGGTTGGGTTATACAAATGTTGATCCTCAGTTGATTGAGAAGGGAGCTGTGCTGCACTTTAATGGAAACTCAAAGCCGTGGTTGAAGATTGGAATGGAGAAGTACAAGCCCTTGTGGGAGAAGTATGTTGATTATAACCATCCTTTATTACAACAATGCAACTTTCACTAATTTTGGACAAGTTCCATCTTTTCCACAACGAACTTGGTGAATCAGAAGAACTAGATTTTGTGATCAAGAATGGTTGTACGATTTTTACGAAGATCAAGCATGGCTATTAGCTGTAACATGGGGTACTTCATGGATGTTCTTCTTGTCTGTTGTTGTATAGATTGTTATATCAGTCCGTTAACTAAAATTTTTTAGTCAGTGTTTTAGATTAAGTTGTAAACATTTTGTTATAAGCTTCAATTCACATTTTTTAAGTCATTCAGTGGAGTTCATTTCACAATACTAAAAGGTGGTCCTGCGAATTTAACGTTGATACCTCGGTTGAAAGCATTGACAGTAATGCATTCTTAAGAACAAATGTATTTAGATTAGTATGAATCAACTTGTCGTTGTAGTATAGTGGTAAGTATTCTCGCCTGTCATGCTTGGTTCGATCCCTGGCATCGGTGTACTTTTTCAAATTATTTTTTGGGCTGGACTTCTATTTTTTCAAATTGTTCATAGTGTGTTTTCTGTGCTAGACTTCTATTTAAATTTTTCATAGTGTGTGGTGGANTCCATCTTTTCCACGGACAACTTCCATCTCTTCCACAACGAACTTGGTGAATCAGAAGAACTAGATTTTGTGATTAAGAATGCTTGTACGATTTTTACGAAGATCAAGCATGGCTGTTGGCTGTAACATGGGGTACTTCATGGATGTTCTTCTTGTCTGTTGTAGTATAGATTGGTATATCAGTCCATTAACTAAAATTTTTCAGTCAGTGTTTTAGATTGAGTTGTAAACATTTTATTATCAGCTTCAATTCAAATTTTTTAAGTCATTTGTTAGATTTGCTTTCAGTGGAGTTCATTTCACAATACTAAAAGAAGGTCCTGAGAATTTAACGATGATATCTCAGTTAAAAAAAATTACCGTCTCTAGATTAGTATTTATATTTATCTGCCTAGGCTTTTAACAACCTGTCGTTGTAGTATAGTGGTAAGTATTCCCGCCTGTCACGCGGGTGACCCGGGTTCGATCCCCGGCAACGGCGTACTTTTTCAAATTATTTTTTGGGCTGGACTTCCTGTTTTTTAATTTTTTTTTTCAAAACTATTTATAGCGTGTGTGCTGGATTTCTGATTTTTTTTTTTCCAATTTCTTATGGGAAGTGATTTTTAGCCCCCATCAAAATGATAATGTCGGCTACATTTCTTTTTTTTTTTTCCAATTTTTTCATAGGAAGTGATTCCTAGCTTTCATCAAATTGATTAGTATCCCATTTTTAAATAGAGTAAGCAAATTTTTTCTCATCCAAATAATGGTTTAATGACATTTTCTAACCCACGGATTTTTAAAATACCACTTTACTATCCAAATTTATATTCCGTTTCCGATTTCGACATCATTGCAACCCCACACTGTAATAGCCGCTTTCTACTCAAATACTCATAAAATATGTATATAATAAAATACATATAAAGCAGTATAAAAGGTTGGGCCCAAATTTTTCTTTTATTAAATATATACATTCTTAAATATAAAAAGTTGTATCATGTACAAAACATCAAAACAATGTGGACAGTGTAGCCATTTCCCTTCGCTTGCCGACGTCCATCCGATCGTGTCCTCACCTAGATCCTGCAAAACATGAAAAACAACGGGGTGAGCACAACTAATGCTCAGTAAGTAAATCCTCTACGCATCTATCCTCGTAACTATCTTTCTCTAATTCTTTCCTTACAATTCTCAATTACTCTCTAATTATACTGCTCTCTACTTTCTCTTTCTCATAACTCTTTTCTACTAACTCTCTTTAGTAGTCACGGCCTCATCTTACCGGAGGCACGGCTGGGACTCGTTCCCACTCTACGTGATTTCTACTCATTCTAGCCGACCGGACTCGGTTATGCATGGATTCGGAACCCTTGGCCATGTGAGTATATAATCTGTCTCTCGGGTACTCTCAGGTATAGCCCTCATCCGCATGCACTCTCACGGGCTACACCACTTTTCTCTCTCTCATACTCATGCCGCTCTCTCAATGCGGCGTACATGCGGGAAACTCTACCCATTACTCACGGGTTCCCCATCGCATAACCTACTCTATTCTCTTTTCTCTTCGTTCTCTAGTGCTCATTCTCTCTTTCTCTTTACTCTTAAGGTAGCTTATACTCAAATTCTCTACTATGTCTCAAGCTACTTCTTAAGTACATAAGAAAAATGCGTATGGACAGCTCATGCTCACTAATGCACTTATGAAATGCCAAATGCAATATTGCATTAAAACAGTCATTCTGCACATGTCTCACTAAAAAGGGCATAACTTGCGTTATACACATCGGATTGTTACGGTTTTGGTCTCGTTTTAAAGCTTAAAAACAGGGTTACAATTTTGATGCTTTGGACTCAGGCCAGTTCAATACGTAAGATGCCCAAAATTCACTTAGAAAGTCACGGCTGTGACAGGGCAGATTTCACTTAGGCATTTCCTCAAACAACTCATGTGCATACCAAAGCTCTACTTATCTATAACTATACTCTTCTCTTTACTCATCCAAAATGGGAGGAAAACTCCCTCATACACTCTAATTTCCTGTCAAGGCAAAACACTCCCATAGGGTTTGCTCAAAACTCCCTCCAACTTCAATCAAACTCAACTCATCATTATGCAATCACAACACTTCTCATAACTCAATTAAATTCATATCAACATAAATAAATATTCATAACATCTCAATTTCTCAGCAAGCATAATACACACACAATCTCTACTCAAATAAATTCTTAAATCTCAATTTAGTTTGGATTTACTTACCTTGTGAAAAAGTAACTTCTCTAGCACTTTTCCTTTCCTTTGTTGTCTTGTCTCCTCTCTACAACTCAAAACAACAACAAGAACAATAACAACCAAATAAGACTTCACTATAACTATAAGCAAACTCACATCTAAAGCATGAATCCTTACCTTAGGATGTTTTAGATGAAATCTCTACTAAAAAATTCCCCAAAAGCTCTCTAAACTCCTTAGAAATCTTAGAAGATTGAGAGAAATTAGACAATGGAAGAGGCAATGTAAATGAATAAATAAAGGGTTTCTCTACACTTTAACTCTTGTTAACTCATATTATAACCATCATTTCCCATTTTGCCCTTGCTCTTCCTTGGAAATTCCATCCATATCCTTTGATTCTTTGCAAATACACCCTTATTACCAACACATTCTCTACTTAATTTCCTTACATTTTACTCCCCACTATTCCTACTAATTAGGGGTAGAATGGTCATTATGCCCCAAAGGAAGAATTCTCTAGAAAACTCAAGAAACTTTTTGTTAGGCTCTTCGCCGCGGCAAAGAACTTTCCGTCGCCTCGGCGAAACACAGCAGAACCTACCCGTGGGTGTAGCACCTCATCGCCGCGGTGAAGATTCTCCTTCGCCCCGGCGAAGATTGGATTTCCAAAATTCACCAAATTTCAACCAATTTCAAAGCAACCATGAGAACATACAAACTCATTTGAAGCTAAATCAATGAACGTTTAAGTAATACAACGAATCTTAAGTACTTACCTCAAGCGGGGCGTTACACACACCACCACCTTTCTTTTTCCCGATCATCACTCACCAAAACCCCCAAACTTACTTCCACCAATCTCGCCAATCGTTATCAGTCGAGAGATTTGCGCAACTACCCATGCCAAGTAAATTCCGATCAATCTCAACTACCAAAATTCAACCTTCCACTACTAAAAGACTATTCGACATTCTCTCTTCAAAAACCCTAATAGTTTAGATTGAGTTTGCTTTCTGTTCCCCGTTGGAATATAAATTTGGATAGTAAAATAGTATTTTCAAAGTCTATGAGTGAGAAAATGTCATTAAACCATTATTTGGATGGGAAAAAGTCATTAACTCTTTTAAATATTTTTTCATAATTGAACTAAGCCCAATGAATCAGTGATCGATCTTTTATCACCGATCCAAAATAATGGATGTTATAGGAATATGGAGCTTTGGCTAAATTGACTCCTCAAGACTACAAGAAAAAAGTACTTTTTGCAACCAATTTTTTTGCAACTAAGCAAAAATAGTTGCAGATACCCCACATTTAGTAACTAAATTCCAATCGATCGACTAAAGGGAAATAAACTTCTAAGGCCCATTTATTCTCACCTTTAGTGTCTAAAATTAATATTCTATGACTAATTTGATTTGTTGCTGAAAATATCACATTAGCAACTGATTTATTTGGTTGCCGATTCTTGCGTTGTAAATTTTCCTAGCATTACAACACAATTGACAACTACAACAAGAGATTCCGCAACTAAAATTATGGTTACAGAAAACAATTATTTGCAACTATTGAATTGTTGCTAAATCAGATTTAAATATTTATTAATTACTTCGTAACTATTTTTATGACACGACCCGTCCCGACCCTCCTTATCCCATAGGCTCCCGATGCACCCATGAGACTCAGGTGATCGAGACGTGCCATGTGGGAAAACTATAAAACCTGTTTATAAATAAAACATCATAAAACTCTTCCAGCTAAAACATTTGTAAACACTCATTTTTGTTTCTCACAAATAAATATGACATCATTTGCAAATAAACAAATGGAACTTCATTTGCAAATAAACAAATGGAACTGAATTTTCTTTTACAAAATGAACATATGGTATCAGACTTTTCCATATCTTTTACAATCCAAAACATGAAATAAAATACATGATGAAGAAACATAAACTTTGCAGCGGAAAATGAAACACAACCGTGGAACTTATGATGAAGTAAAGTCATGTGGCCCAACCTTGAGTAGGATTCAATCATCTGCACAAACACCTTCTTGACCTGGAAGGGGGGGGGGGGGGGGGGGGGGGAAGAAAAACATTTGAAAACGAGGGGTGAGGCTATAAATGCTCAGTGAGTGGGGAATGGGTTAGTATGTAATAACACATTTCAATATACAATACAAACACTCATGCGTATAAAATTTCTTTTCTATAACACATTTTATAATATAAGCCATCTTTCATAGCAATGCTGAAATCTCTCATTGCAAAACTTCATTCTGAAAGCTATTATGGTAAACAAATCAATACTCATGTTTCTCTACACATATCATTTCTAGAAACATTTCATATACAATTACATTTTCATTTATAAATTTCCATTTCAAATAAATGATATACATGTATATATGTATCCAAACCATCTCTCAATCACATGTGAAAACTCTCACCCAACTAGTACCCAGGGGTAAATCCGTCTGACCCGGCAAGATCTAACATCGTGCGGGCTGAACCAATAAATCCATCCTGCTAGGCAGAATTGGTCACCGCTCAAGCCTTCGACCCAGTGAGTCCAAGCATCACTCGGGCCGGCACAATCATATCCTGTTTAGCGATATCTACCTCGCTCGAGCTTTCGACCCACCTGGACCGGTAATATCAATCATGTAAAGCGATATCTACCTCGTTTAGGCCTTCGACCCACTTGGGTCGGCAGTATCAATCATGTAAAGCGATATCTACCTCGCTCGAGCTTTCGACCCACCTAGGCCGGTAATATCAATCATGTAAAGTGATATCTACCTCGCTCAAGCCTTCGACCCACTTGGGCCGGCAGTATTAAATCATACGCATGTATAGAATCAAATCCATATCATGATGGGGATGGGTACTATGTAGGGTGATTTGAAACGCACTATCATCTCATACTTATTCTCAAAAAAACTTTCTCATGAGCATATAATAAATTTTATAACATCTCATGTAATGTAAAAATATAAATGCAAGTTCTCAAATGTTTTCAAATCTAACAATTTCAACCCATTTTCATTTCTTTCCAAACTATTGCCAAAAGCATCAAAATTCCATCTTCCTCATGTCAATCAACAATTCCTAACAATAACATTGCAATTATGGGGGTCAAGGAAGAAATGTGACCGATTGAGGAAAATAACTAGGAGATCAAAAGGCTTGAATGAAGGAACGTTGCCTTGCTGACTAGCAAGTATAAACGAAGCCTTGTAAGAGTAATTCGTGGTGAGGCAAAGGCCTCTGATTCCACTAGGACTCTTGGAGAGTAAAATAGAGGATCCCCCACTACTTAAGATTCATTGCTCCTGAGAGTGTGTATTAAAATAAAGGTCATAGAATCGGGGATGCTAGAGTTAATGTTAGGTTGAATCTTTTATAAGTGGTGTCTCAAAGATTTAGTACACGAGCATGAAATAAAAGTGACCATGAAAATTTCTAATTTAAATGGTTGCAGAAACCATAGGCTCCATGTCAAGTGTCGAGGGGGAAGAACTGTATTAAAGGTTTCTAAGCTAATGGGTGACTTATAAGAAATAATTATGGTGAGAGGAATTACGAGATGAAATCTTATTAATTGAGTTAATAGAAGGAAGCGTTAATATATGAAAATCTTATATTCTGAAAGAAGTTGTGGTGGTGTTATAAAGTGATATTGTACTTGAATGAAGTGGATGAGAACATTTAAGTATCCTTCTTCCAATAAGGCAATTTATGCATTGATATAAAGGTTAGTTGGATGTGTTACAGAACAAGGTATTAAGAGCAAGAAGATATAAAGAGAGAGGAATATGATCTCAAGGAAACAAATGCAAAATAGTGACTATGTGAAAGTGTGCAAGAGTATTTTAAATCGAATGTTTTTAAAGGGACATGGGTGAGATTATCTTGGAATGAGCATATGAATTAAAGGAGTGATGAAGATGCAAGACTTATTAAAAGAGTCAGAACCCACATGTTCTTCATGTAAGTCAAATTTCGAGGACGAAATTTTTATAAGGAGTGGAGAATTGTAACCCCCGCACTGCTTTGTGTTCATGAATGTTGTATATAATTATGCATTGGTATGACTCTTGCATGTGTTCTCATTTTTTTATTTTGGACGAATGAAAAGATTTTGTTGGTTGGTTGTGATTTCCTGATTTGAGTTGAAAAAGAGAAATCCAGTTAATTTGGTGAGACTGATTTGTTTGAGTGATAATAGAAGCGTTTTGGTTAATTGGAGTGTGAAATGGTTTGTGTTGAATGTTTACTCTTGATTTGTCAATTCAATCACTTGAGTTATAAAATTTATGTTTGATGTATCTTGTGATAATTGGTGGTTGGTTTGGAAAGGGATGATTAGTCCAAGTTCCAGAATGTACCATGCCTCGGCACTATGCCACGGCACCAAAATATGCAGAATTTCAATATAGTCCCAATGTATTAAATCCTTTCACTTGAACCCAAAAAAAAGTTCTAAAACTTGCAGTTCACCCCCCTTTTTCACACATTCCCAACAACATTTCACTCAACTCAAATTACCAATATGGAATAGTCATCCCTTTCCAAACCAACCACCAATTATCACAAGATACATCAAACATAAATTTTATAACTCAAGTGATTGAATTGACAAATCAAGAGTAAACATTCAACACAAACCATTTCACACTCCAATTAACCAAAACGCTTCTATTATCACTCAAACAAACCAGTCTCACCAAATTAACTGGATTTCTCTTTTTCAACTCAAATTAGGAAATCACAACCAACCAACAAAATCTTTTCATTCGTCCAAAATAAAAAAATAAGAACACATGCAAGAGTCATACCAATGCATAATTATATACAACATTCGTGAACACAAAGCAGTGCGGGGGTTACAATTTATTAGTTACAAAGTGATAAAATTACCAAAATATCCAAGCTTCTGACAATAATTACAAAGGGCCCCAGGGTATATTTGCCAACTAATTTTATTTTATGCATATTACAAATAGTTGCAAAAACTCATGTATAGCAACTAAAATGTATTTAGTTGCTAAAAGTTGATAAAATTTTTTGGCTCCCACTTTCCCAGTAAAATGAAAAAATGATATTTTAATTTGTGACTAAAATTACTGTTGCGTAACTAATTAGTTAGTTACAAATTATCTTCTTTTGGCAACTAAGATTTTAGTTGCCAAATGTATAGTAAATTCTACAAATCAATTTGGGCGTCCCATGTTCTCGCTTGAAATAAATTGAAATTTTGGGTATGTTATTTTGGCAATTAAAGATATAGTTGTTAATAGGATTTTTCGCGACCAAAATGTTAGCCACTAAATATTGTTTATTAAAGGTGATATATACTAATACTACTAGTAAAGAAAATCAATTAGTTACAAAAGGTTTAGATATCAGAATTTTGATTGTGGCAACTACAATATTAGTTGCAAATTTTGTTTTTTTTGGCAACTACTTAAATATTAGTTGCTATTGATAATTTACAAAACATGAAAGTTACAAATGGTGACTAAACCTGGTTGATACAAATGACTAATTAAATAAATAAATGGCTATGTTTTTAGAAACAATTACTAAAAGCCCAACCTATGCAAACCCAAACTTAAAACCAAATCCCTAATACACCAATTTCTCTATTCTTACCTAAGTCATCTTCTTCTCCATGCACTCTTGTATCCAATTTCCCTCATCACTTTACCATCTCCTTCATTTTACTTTTGCCGCCTACATCACCCCATTAAAGGTAACTCTTTTTATTTTTATGTCAAAACTCATTCTTTTAAAGATGGTATTTCAGTTTTATTGTTTGATTTTTAATTCGTTTTTTCACAACATTTGCTTTAATTTGTTTAAGCATATGTTGTTTGTGATGTTCCTAGATGGATGGCAAAACCGAATTGGATTTTTAGTTATTTGGGAAACCGGTTCGGTTTTAGTCCATAAAAATACAGAAAACCAAATTTCCGATTTTATTAAAAAAATTAAAAAGTAAACAATTTTTCCTTAAAAATTTAAAAGTAAACAATTTAAATTAAAAAGTCCCTAAATCTAAAATTAAAGAAACTCAAAACCCCAAACCCGGTTTCATTAAAAAAAAAANGATTCAGTGATCGATCTTTTATCACCGATCCAAAATAATGGATGTTACAAGAATATGGAGCTTTGGCTAAATTGACTCCTCGAGACTACAAGAAAAAGTACTTTTTGCAACCAATTTTGTTGCAACTAAGCAAAAATAGTTGCAGATACCCTACATTTAGTAACTAAATTCCAATAGATAGACTAAAGGGAAATAAACTTCTAAGGCCCATTTATTCTCACCTTTAGCATTTAAAATTAATATCCTATGACTAATTTGATTTGTTGCCGAAAATATCACATTAGTGACTGATTTATTTGGTTGCCGATTCTTGTGTTGTAAATTTTCCTAGCATTACAACACAATTGACAATTACAACAAGAGATTCCACAACTAAAATTATGGTTACAGAAAACAATTATTTGTAACTACTGAATAATTGCTAAATTAGATGTAAATATTTATTAATTACTTCGTAACTATTTTTATTAGTTACAAAGTGATAAAATTACCAAAATATCCAAGCTTTTGACAATAATTACAAACGGCCCCAAGGTATATTTGGCAACTAATTTTATTTTATGCATATTACAAATAGTTGCAAAAACTCATGTATAGCAACTAAAATGTATTTAGTCGCTAAAAGTTGATAAATTTTTTTGGCTCCCACTTTCCCGGTAAAATAAAAAAATAATATTTTAATTTGTGACTAAAATTACTATTGCGTAACTAATTAGTTAGTTACAAATTATCTTCTTTTAGCAATTAAGATTTTAGTTGTCAAATGTATAGTAAATTCTACAAATTAATTTGGGCATCCCATGTTCTCGCTTGAAATAAATTGAAATTTTAGGAATGTTATTTTAGTAATTAAAGTTATAGTTGTTAATATGTTAGCCACTAAATATTGTTTATTAAAGATGATATATACTACTCGTAAAGAAAATCAATTAGTTACAAAAGGTTTAGATATCAGAATTTTGACTGTGGCAACTACAACATTAGCTGCAAATTTTGTTTTTTTTGGCAACTACTTAAATATTAGTTGCTATTGATAATTTACAAAACATGGAAGTTACAAATGGTGACTAAAACTGGTTGATACAAATGACTAATTAAATAAATACTATGTTCTTAGAAACAATTACTAAAAGCCCAACCTGTGTAAACCCAAACTTAAAACCAAATCCCTAATGCCCCAATTTCTCTATTCTTACCCAAGTCCTCTTCCTCTCCATGCACTCCCTGTATCCAATTTCCCTCGTCACTTTACCATTTCCTTTGTTCTACTTTTGCCGCCTATATCATCCCATTGAAGGCAACTCTTTTTATTTTTATGTCAAAGCTCTTTCTTTTAAAGATAGTATTTCATTTTTATTATTTGATTTTTAATCCGTTTTTCCACAACATTTATTTTAATTTGTTTAAGCGTATGTTGTTTGTGATGTTCCTAAATGGATGGTAAAATCGAACTGAGTTTTTAGTTATTTGAGAAACCGATTTGGTTTTAGTCCATAAAAATACAAAAAACCGAATTTCCAATTTTATTAAAAAAATTAAAAAGTAAACAATTTTTGAAAGAAAATTTAAAAGTAAACAATTTAAATTAAAGAGTCCCTAAATCTAAAATTAAAGAAACTCAAAACCCCAAACCCGGTTTTATTAAAAAAAAAAAAAAAGTTAAACAATATAATTTTGCCCAAAATTCAAATTGTTTGAACTCTTAAAATATTATAAAAAAAAAAAAACTCTAATTAAATTCGCCACGCCATCCTCACTATCTATACAAAGGGTAATGTTATGGGTACTAACGGATTTTACTAACCAGTGTACTAACTTAAAGCATAGCACGGGTACCGTATACATAGTATTGGTACTATGTATGATTTTAATAAAGGTTAATACACTGGTTAGTAAAATCGTTAGTTCGTACAATATTATTCCTATACAAAATCCCCACCGCCGACGACGCAATTTCTCTCCACTTCTCCACTCCGTCCGCCTCTTCTTTTCCAATTTTTGTCTGAAATCCTTGACTCTCTAATCAAAATCAATCCAAGTGTTAGTGTGCCCGAGTTCGAATCTCGCCAGATCAGACGGTGAAGATGGCGTCCGACGCTGCTATGGAGAAGATGCAGCTCCGTCGAAGCTACCAAAACATGTGGCACATAGGCCTCTTGGGCTCCATTAAAAAAGACACTCCTTGTATGTTTTCTAGTTTTTTAATGTCCGTGTATCTGTTTTATAACATTTAGCGTAATTTTTCTCCCCTAATTTATTTTTTGGCGCTTATGTTAATGTGCAGATTGCTGCTTTGCGGTTTTCTGGTGAGAAATTTATATCTTCATTTTTTATTATTATTAATTGCGGTTATGGATCTGTTAATTATCAGCTGAATTTTGTGATAGTCTAGGTTTTATTTTGTTTGATAGAATTACAATTTGTGGTTATTATATATGCTAATTTAGGTTAAATTTGTTTAACTTATTCTTAACTTAATTATATATAATTTGTTTAACCTATTAAAGCATGCCATTCCCCAGGTAATCTGTAATTGCTATTGCCAAATGTTAACTTCTCTTCCTTTCCTTTTCTTCTTCTTTCAATTGAGAATCTCGCCAAAATTTGAGTCTTGATAAATAATAAAAATTACATGTTAGCCACGTGGCACAATCCTCATTTGGAATACAAGAATGCCGGCAGAATCCTTTTACAGCACAACAACTGTTTCACACTTGTCTCCTACTGCCTAACGTCTCTTAAGAACAAGTCCAAACATCCTACATCTACAACTCCAAACACACCTTCCTTTCCGGCTGTACCCCTACTTACCATGCTCAATATGAAAGTTAAAACTCACTTAAAACACCTTCTTACGAGGATACATCTGTAATTCCACTCAACCAATATTATCCCCTGTAATTCGCCGGCCAAGTGTATATTTATCTACTTTGCCGCCACTTTCAAATGTTTGTTTTTCTTCTGATCCCTTTTCAAACTAAACAAAACCTTTTATATAAATCTCTCTTATACATCTCTCTCTCTGTTTCTGAAAGAGACAATGAAAGACGTTAATGAAACACTACTCACCGATCAATCCCTCAAGCCAAGAAGGCCAAAATCAAGAGAAGTTAGCTCAAGATTCCTCTCTCCAAGCTCAACACCGTCGCGTGATATGGGGATCCCATCTTCAAACCAAGTTCTCTCTCCACTCCTCTCAGTAAAACCATCAACGCCACCTGATGCTCGAAAGCATCGAAGCCTTGATCAAGACTCTGCCGGGGGTTTCATTCGGGGCCTTTGGCCTTCTTCCACTACTACTTCTCAGTCATCCAACAAAAATATTGGCACCCTTGCGGAGCATCTGGGAAATGAGAGATTGAGAGACTATCTTGACCGAAAAACTGATGAGAAATCATCTTATTCTAGCGTTTTCTCACTTAGTAGACAAAGAAGTTGCAGTGAGTTTAGTAGGCTTGAGAATGAGAAAGAGAAAGAGAAGGGGAGTGCGAAAGAGAATCATAGACCATTTCTTGGAGGGTCAATGAGGTACACAGGAAAGTTAAAGTTTCCAGGAAAATCTTCCTCGTCATCTTCTTCATCCAATTCTTTGTCAAATAATTCAGGTATTTCTAGAAATTAATTTAAATCCCTAAACAGGGAAAAAAAAAAAGATTGTACTCATATAAGATTTATTTTAAATAAAAATACTGAAATAGATTTAGGAAAACTGCTCTAAATTCTCTGAAATAGTTAGAGAATTGTAAACAAACCCTACAAGTTCGAAAAAATTCTTGCAATCAATTTTTTTGACTGCTAAAAGTTAGTAGCAAATTACTCATCTCAAAACTTTTCATCCTTAGATTCAGTTCACATCAAGAACAAAATATATTATTCTAATTTTCTACAGGTATTGTTCCTGGAAGAATGTCTGTTGATGAAAATGCTCTGTATAGAAAATCACATAGACGATCAGATCCTTTGATGGACAATCTTGAGTCAGAATCAGAGTGTAGTGACATATGTTCAACTACGGATATTAGCTCTCCAGGGATGGGTAAAGGTTCCTCTCACTCTCGAAAATCTGGTAGAGATGTTTCTTCGAAATATTTGCAGGATGTACCTAATAGACCCAGAAGATTGAACTCAGATTCGAATATACCTGTATCATTAGACAGTTCTCCAAGGTTGAAGAAATTTACAATAAAAAACGCAATCAAGAGAGCTAATTCTTTAACTGGGTATGGAAGTGCAACATCACAATGGGCGTTGTCTCCAGGGCGATCAGGTTCGCCTCCTATGTCTGTAGAGAGTAAGCAGAGGCCAATGTCATTCTCTAGTTTGAAGCCGCCAAGCAGTCCTTCCAGGGCCAAAGGTGTGGAGAAATTGCTGAATATGGGGTTAGACTTGTTTAAGAGCAAGAAAACTTCATCGTCACCTCTGGGATCTGGTGATGTGGAGACTGGACATCGGCTGAGAATGCTTCAAAATCAGTTGATGCAGTGGCGATATGCGAATGCTCGAGCTGATGCAGTGAAAGAAAAGATGACTAATCAAGTGGAGGTATCTGTAATTCTGTATGATTAGTGTTTGCTAAGTAATATTTAGTAATATTGGGCCTTCAAACTTGATTTGACTCTAGGGAGATCGGACTTTGACCCTATAGCTTGTATAGTTAAGCTATTATTAAATTCAAAGTAATCCTCAACACAAGAATAAGGCTGTGAGTATGCATTGCCATGTCTAGAAAACCATCAGTTCTGTAGCAAATTTTGATAATTATAACTTCTTGAAGAAAACAGAATACAAGACCAGCAAAAGTTCATATGTATGACATGTCCCCGCCCAACTCATTCAACAACTTAATGATCTGATTAACTGACATTGAGGGATACATTTCAATTACTGAAAAATTAAGTTGGAATGAGATGACATTGTTACATTATCAGCTTATATAGTTTTAAATTTGAGTAGGAGTTTGTCTTATATTACTCTATCATGGTTTTGCAGAACAATTTGTTGTGTGCATGGGATACCATTACAAAGTTGGGACATTCAGTGCTGCATAAGAAGTTACAGCTTCAGAAGGAAAAGCTTGAAATGAAGCTAGACTTTATACTCATGTCTCAAGTAAGTAACAAACTCTATTTGATGACAACTTTACTGAGATATATCATGTTGATTAAGATGTGTTAATTGGAAAGAATGATTTTTATGCACAGACTGACTTGTGATCACTTGTATATAGATTAAGCCATTGGAATCCTGGGGTGATATGGAAAGACAACACCTATCAGCAGTTTCCATGATGAAAGAGTGTTTGCATTCTGTTGTTTGCAAAATACCTCTTACCGAAGGAGCTAAGGTAGGCGAACGAAAACCTGAATTCGTGAGCTGATTGCGAATCATTAGCGCCCTAAAAGTTTGATTCTTATGACTAACAAACTAAGCTTGTAGGTGGACCCCCAATCTGCTTCCATTGCAATTCGACATGCATTAGATCTTACAGCTTCCATCAAGTCAATACTATCTAATTTTTTGCCATCAGTAAGTTGTTTATATAAAGCATTCGAAACAATGACTTGAATACTGCATTTGTTTAACTTACCCTCAAGCTTTTTTGTTTACAGGTTGGGAAGAATATTTCATTACTTTCAGAGTTGGCGGATACAATTGTATAAGAGAAGTTGCTCATGGAGGAATGCCTTGAACTTTCTAGGAGCATAGCTCTGCTAGAGGTAATAAACAGAATCTTCATAACTTGCATTCTATTTAATATGATGCTGCAGCTGTACAGATTTGTATTCTTTACTTGTATATATAAAATATAATTTTTCCTTTGTTCCATAATAAATATGATAAACTGGTTGCAAAGTTTTAATATAATATTCCTTGTGATTATATAATGGACAGATGGAAGAAAGGGGTTTGAAATGTTATATTATTCAATTGAAATCATGTCAACAACTACAGCAGCAGCAAGAAGAAGAAGAAGAAGAAGAAGAAGAAGAGATCCCTTCATAGCTTCTGGCAATGGTTTAACAATATTAGGAGGATGCACACGGAATTATAGTAGATGATAAAACAAAATTGAGGTATGATAATTAGAACTTGAAGATGTAATCTAGATTTGATCGTGATCCATAGGCCTGTAGGATAATGGTAGAAATTGTCAATTACCAACTAATAATTAACTGTTTTCAGAAAAGAATTAATTGGCTTTTATATATGGGATAAAGTTATGTGATTCACAAATAAAATCATTGATTGACAGGTTTATCATAACTCATAAGATATATTTATGAAAGACAAGTTGTCTATGAGTGACAGATGACAAATTGAAGCTATTCTACAGAGAAATACATGAAAAATTCTTATTCTAAGTGAAGTATATATCCAAGTTCAGATATTGTTTGTGTTATGTTGATCAATTTCTCATTATTCCCTTGATCCCTATCTCTACTTACAATTGGCATAGATAGCAAAGCTCGTTCCATTTACCTGTGTTAAACAACTATGTATATCATGATCAAATATAAAATCCTTTCTGAAATTAATATCTCTGGAAAGAGTTTGTTGAGCTCCATCTTGATCGTGTATCACAGTGAAAATGGCAAGAAAATCTTCCGTCCGAGATTATATTAATTCATTGAAAGGTAGAGTCTGACAGGCATGTTCCGTTATGATGTACCAACAGTTTAACACAGAGAAGAATGAATGAGTCTAAGGCTTAATCTTTCAAGATCATGCAGACAAGCTTGAGATTATCTTAGTTGAACTTATTACTTTGTCTATGAACTATAAAATCAAATAATAAACAGTGTTAAAATTTTCTTGCCATATAATTAATCCTTTTATATGTGAAACAAACGTGCTTTTGTGTAAGGTTAGGCGACCAATTAATACAAGTTATTTATTCTAAATGTGCTAGCAGGAATTGGCTTATCAAACTAATCAAAGGGATATCTTTGATCGAGGGCTGAGCACGTCTGCCTTGAACTTTCAAATAAAGAAATAGAAATGATTTAAAAATTCATTTAATCTAAGTATAGTAACAGGACCCTTAAATTATCTGATTAAGATGAATGTTAGACCAGGTCAAATCCAATTCTAGAAGTAACAGTAGTTTTACGAAGGATAAATTGCCATGTGGCAAAATGCTCCTCCTTTAACGACCGTCCCTAGGTTAATTTGGCCGGTCAAAATGAAATAATCACTGTAAGCCTCTAACCAGTAACCAGTCCAAGCCTCAATTATTTTCATACCTACCCGACGTGAAACCATTGCTTCTCTTGATGAAGGCTTTGCTTTTGACACCTTCTCTACTTCTCCCTCCAACTTTCCATGGAGAAGAAACCCACAACCTATTAGTACATAAATCAAGAGAAGAAGAAGAAGAGCAACAGCAAATAATTAGAAACACCGAAAAGGTCCCTTTGCTCCGGGGGCATTCTGTTTCCCCCTAATTAAATACTTTATTTTTTGATAGGAAAAAAAAGAAAGAAAGAAATAAAATGAACGATCTTATTTCAAGTTCGTTCAAGCACCGGGTTCCTTTAGACCTGGAGGCTGGAGGTGAGGCTGGAAAAGAGACAACGAATCTTGATAAGTTCTTTGAAGATGTAGAGAATGTCAAAGATGACATGAAAATCGTAGAGAAGTTGTACAAGAGATTACAGGAATCAAATGAAGAGAGTAAAACTGCCCACAATGCGAAAACCATTAAAGAGGTTCGATCACGAATGGACTCAGACGTTGAGCAAGTCCTAAAACGAGTGAAAGTGATTAAGGCTAAGCTAGAGGCACTTGAAAAATCCAATGCAGCTCAAAGAAAACTTCCAGGGTGTGGTCCAGGCTCATCCGTAGATAGGACCAGGACTTCGGTTGTTGCTGGTTTAGGTAAGAAGCTTAAAGATTTGATGGATGATTTTCAACAATTTAGGGCCAAAATGACATCTGAATACAAGGAAACAGTTGAGAGAAGGTATTTTACTATAACTGGACAGAAAGCAGATGAACAAATGATCGAAAACTTGATATCAAGTGGTGAAAGTGAAAATTTCCTTCAAAAGGCAATTCAAGAACAGGGTCGTGGGCAAATTATGGACACCATTTCAGAGATTCAAGAGAGGCATGATGCTGTGAAGGAGATTGAAAAGAATTTGATTGAACTTCACCAGGTTTTTCTGGACATGTTTGCACTGGTAGAGGCACAAGGACACCAGCTCAACGACATTGAGAGCCACGTAGCGCATGCGAATTCGTTTGTAAGGAGAGGGACCCAACAGCTGGAGGTGGCTAAGGAGACCCAGCAAAGCAGCCGAAAATGGACTTGCATTGCCATAATGCTAGGCGCTGTTCTCATTGTTGTTATTCTTTTTCCAATTTTATTCCAGGTTTTACTTCATAAGAAGTAGCGTTATCAATGTCCCGTTTGTTTTCAAGACCAAAAACAGTTTCCTGTTTTCTGATTCTTTGGGCAAGGTTGTTTCATAGAGAAGTTCTCTCTTCTTTAATCTTTTTAAATTCATTGTACGCTTAGAAAAGTTGTTTGTTTTACAAAAATGAAGTACTTTTTGAATGTACAATAAAACCATTTCCCATTTTTTCAACAAGATATTCGAATTACAATAAACAATTAATCTGATGTATCAATTCAATAATGTTTCTTAAATTGTCTAATATTTTACCTAGTTAACCCATAACCCAGTTTGCATGTTCATAGTCATAGATGACTTCAGATTGGTCAAAGAATTTTGATAGCCTCTCAATTCTCTAGCGCTTGAAAATTGAAAGGGCGCAGGAAAACGCAAACCTTTCAGCCGTTTTGTATCCTCCAAAACGCATGTCATACTCACCGTTTTAACCTCTTCAATAAGTTGACCAACCTAGCCAAAATCGAACGACGGCGTTTTAGCTCGCTTCTTGAGGGCATTACATTAATATTCTCCTTCTCTTCTATTTCCGTCGTCTCATCGATCTTCACCTAGCAACAGTCGAAAAGCTCGGAGCCATGGCTACAATAGTAGCTCGTCAAGCTGCATCGACACTAGCTCGACTTTCCTCTTCCAGAATATCGGCTCAAGCCGCTTCTCTCATTCAACGGCGCGGCCTTGCCGGCGCTGCTGGTAATATATATTAGTCAAACACGCCGTTGTTGATGTAGATTTATGCATATTAAATATCTCTGTTGCGTCTCAAACTTACATGGAATCCCGATCTAATTTATTTACTACGAAGGTTATATAGACAGCGTTATGGTTCATGATTCTTCTTCTTCCGATTTACCACAGATCACCACGGCCCGCCAAAGATTAATTGCTGGCAGGAACCAATGAGCCCCTCTAAGTGGAAGGAAGAGCATGTAAGTATTTTTTTTTCATATATATTTTTTTCTGTATTATCAGGTGTTTAGTGGAGTATAGGTTTGTTGTTATTTTTTTGCAATATTAGTTTTGATGAACAATTTTTTTTTTTTTAAGTCAATATGAGAACAAACCAGCGAAAATGCATTCCAGAAAAAAAATTAAATAAAAAATTTCAAAATCTTTTAGATAATGAAATTTGTATATTTCTGGCTTTTATTTATTTATTTGGATGCGGAAAACTGAAAATGATATAGAAAAAGGTACCAAATGCACCATTTTCTTTTTGCTAATTGTAAACTTAGAGTTTTACTGAGGAGTAGAGGAGACATATATGTTGGGAAAATAACAGTAGTTACCGGAATTTTTTCCTTTGCAGTTTGTACTTGTCTCATTATCTGGTTGGGGCCTACTCTTCTATGGAGGATACAAATTTTTTACTGGAGGCAAAAAGGAGGAAGAGGTAATTCTGTAATATTTTAACGGCAAACATGCATAATCTGGCCTAGCATCAGCAGCTTTAGAGCGTCAAACATTTTTCTTTTCAAATTTAAATGAATGGTCTTTGTAACCGTTTCCATCATTTACCATGCTACCACAGTACCAGTCGTCATATAGACAATATATGTGTGGCAATAAATTGAAACATAATGCTTCAGAGAGTAATGTCCTACCTTGGCCTAATAACATCGTAAGCATCCAATAATGTAGAAAAAAGGTCATACATGGTCAAAATACTCACAATCTTTCCAACTCATAATAGTGTATGCATATGTGATATAGAAATTAAATGCAGTTATGCTCGTCATGTCTATTTCTATATGGTTCACCATATTTCAAAGGAAGCTCCTTTATAGAGGTGAAACCTTATGTCTTAGGTCTCTTACACTCGTAGGTCAGAAAACGTGTATATGGTATGAAATTATGAATCAATATCCTGCGTAAATATGCTTTAAGACTCTTCCTACTGTATACAAGACATTGTTTTAAAATGAAATAATGTCCTATGCAAATCAACTTTTATTTTTTTTCAATAAGATGAGCAATATATCCCATTGTTTATTGGTAAAGAAAAGTGAATTGATTGACAAGTTTAAATTTGAGAGTTTTCTAGTCCGACTTGTAAAAGTGGTCGAAATAATGTTTTGGGCAATTCGAATGTTAGCTTGGATGGGCATTAATTTGTAGAAAGAAGTATGAAATATTTAAATGGCCAAACTGAGTGGCCAAGGATTTTTGTATCAATTTACTACAGATCTATGACTCTCTGATACAGTAACCTAACATTTGTATTGTTCTGGTGCTTTAGGATTACAACTTATTCTTTTTTTTTTTCCATCTATTGACAGAAACTGGTTGACGCAGCACATTGAGTTTTGGAGCAAAATTCCTGGTAATAATGTGCATTGATTGGAGCTTTAATCCCTTCAGATTTTCTTTCCTGCTAGCCAGTGTTTGATTTTTTCTTGGAGATTGAAGATATTTAAACTTGATGGGTGGTTGCTTTGTTGGAGACAATTAACCAATTTCATGTGCTCATCATTTCCAAGCAATTTTAAAAATCTTTTGTTCTAATAATGAGAATGGCACTCAATTCTTTTTAATTTATTGGCTATATCTGACCATGCTGACTTTTTTGAATTGTGATGGTAGACATTCCCACCATTGGTTGTGAACTGTGATCATACATGCATTACATGGAAATAACATTGGACAAATCTTGCTATTTGAAGTGATGACCAGATAGCTATTTTTTTTTTTTCAAAATTATTTGTTACTATCCAAACGAGATGCCCCTCACAGGTTTGCGTGTTCCATACATAAATTCAACTTAGTAGAACCGACTCTGGGAGCACTAAATACTATGTGAAGTCTCGTTTTACCCATTTTGCAGCAGCAAGGGCTGTATGCCTGCATATTCATTTTGACATATGTTTACCTCTTTGTTTGGTGCGAGTGCCAAGATTAGACAAACATGAGTTCTAGCATAAGTACATTGAGAAAAGGAGGTTTTATTTACCTTGACTTCCCTTGGCATGGTTGCATTACTGGTCCTTTCATCATAATGTTGATGGACATGGTGCTCTTTAGTTATTCACCTAGTCCTCTAACTCCAGTAGATAGCATAAAAACATGTTATTGAATGGAATTGCATAAACACAATGTTCTGAAACATACAAGAAAGGATAAGAAATCATTTGGTTGCAGCCTCGATTCCAAATTCAGTCCCGTCCAAATGGAAATCAAAACAATCTTTTTTACTTGCCCTCATAAAAATTTTAAGGAAATTAACAAACATTTCATAATCGAAAGGTATGCAATTTGATTGATAAGCAAACACAAAACACAAAAGATAAAAGATATTTAGCTTTATCTACCATCACCAATACAAGCACACCGGAAGTGAGAAAAGAAAAAAGCAAAAATACATTTTAAAATTGAGTAATATTATCTTTACAAAGAAGCATATAAAGAATTATACAAAGAGTCAAATCTAACCTTTGAAATTCATAATTGCCTTTTTCTCTTTTTCTCTTTTTTCAATGGTTGGATTTGACTCTTTGTATATCTCTTTGTAAGGCTAGTATTACTATTTCAAATTTAGTAATCAGTTAAAATTCGGAGTCGTCTGTTTTCGCCTTGTACTCTTCTTTACCCTCCTCAAGGTTGGAATTGGATTCCCTGTCAGAATCACCATAAGAAGTTGATTCAGCCTCTTTTTCTTGCATATCTCCAACCTCCACTTCGTCTGTCATTTCAGGTTTGTTGTCGTCTTTTACTTGTTTGCCTATGTTTTCTTCTTCATTGTTGTTCCCGCTGCTCATCTTTTGTTTGGTGCCACCGGCTTCTTCGTCTTCTTCTGGTTGCCTGAATTCATCTAGTTTCTGTTTTTCAGCATAACTTGAAATTTTAGTGGAATCATCATCAGCGGTTGTATTCCTCCGCAATTCCACGTCTAGAGAATTATGGGGCTCCAACATTACATTTTCTTGCTCCACCTGCAATTTTTGTGGCTCAGCCTTCACATCTCTGTTTTCCAGATATTCAGAATCCACTGCCTTTCTTACTTCCTGTAGATTTTCATCCGCTGCTTTTGTCTCTCCTTTTCTTATTCCGTCATTAGAAATTTGACTTTCTCTCTTGCTCAATTCATCTCGATCAAGTCTATGAAATCTTCTGCTCATTCTCGGCAGTCGTCTATTGTAGTCAGCATCTCTGCTTCTAGCAAGCATTCTCCATCGCTTTCTCTTCGTTCTACCCACATGACCATGTTTCCCTCTCAATCTTGGACCAGCGTCAATTCTAGAATCTAGAGTCTCTAACTTCTTCCCACCTTTAGAATTCGTTTGAACTTCCTGGCTCTCATCTTGAGAATTGTCTGCTTTTCCTACCACCCGATGTTTGATAATTTCGCTTTCATTACCGTCTCTTTCATCACTATTTTTCTCTTCTAGTTTTGAAACATTTTCATCAGCATTAACAATTGCCTCCATTGAGTTTGTGATGTTTATTTGCTTTCCTACATCCGAACCACTTTCATCGACTCCGTTCTTAGAATCTTCTTCTTGAGAAGTTTCATGCTTATACCACTGTTCAACTGTCTTTTCACTTCCATCTTCAACTCTTGTTGACTTCTCACCATTTATTATATTAGTGTATTTACTTGACTCTCCGTCCTTCTCTTTACTCAAACTCAAATTTGATTTATCCTTCTCAGACATATTTATAGAGACTTCAATAGGGAATCCAAGACGGAGCTTCAAATCCTCAATTTCAGCTTTCTTTTGCTTCAAGCTTTCTTTTAGAGCTGTCAGTTGAGAGATTTCCTTAGCTGAATCTATTTCAGCTTCTCTCCGCATTTTGATCTCATTCTTCATCTCCTCCAATGCAGACTTCAAGGTTCTTTGTTCATCTTTTAGGGAATCAATTGTAGATTGCGTCTCGAGGAGCCTTCTGTCAAGCTCCATCTTTTGGGTACTGAGGGTGTACATCTTTGCTTTCATCTCTTCGTTCTTGTTCTTCACATCTCTGTTATATTCCCTTTCCTTCTGTGTGAACAAAAAGTGATGGCAAGCATTAGTTTTTCGAAATTGAGGCAACAGTTTACACCTAAAGCATTGTACTAGATGCAGTGAAGATTGATGATACCCAGTGTTTTAAAATATCCATAAATCTTGTGAAATATTCCCATATGCAAATCTTGTAATTCTCTTTGTTCAGGCAGAGAAATAGAATCACTTTTTTCTTTTATTGTTAATGACTTCTTTACCAGATTCTTAAATCAGAATTTTTTGGATAATCCACTTGGGGTGAAGCGCCCTAGTTATGATTTTTAATTTTATTTTTCTGTCTACAGATCGTATACATTGAGAAACACAATTCACCCTTTGAATCCAATTACTGAATGAGATTTTCTCCTCCAGCATTGAGATTTGAGAAATTTGACTCTCCACTCCTATCCACACCATAGAAAATAACCCAAAAAAAAAATGAAGATTGAGAATCCAACGGATAATTTGGATCTATGATATTCAACATGATTTGAACTAAATTTCTTTCGCTCCATAAAATCACAATTCGAAGCAGAGGGTTCCAATTTAAAATATGATAGAGACCATAACATTGACCATTTTGGCTTGATCAGAACCAAATAATAAAGATTTTCTGTAAAGAATAAAAGCTTATCCTGGAGATAAAAACAAATGTAAAAAAAAATTGTTGCATGATGGTTCATAGATGGCATGCAAATAGGCTGACACGTAAAACTGTAAAAAAGTAAACATGCATGCAAGGGATGGCATTGGTAGAGAAGAGAGAGAAACGTAGGGAACCTGCAAGAGAAGATGAAGGGAAATGAGCTCATGGTCTTTTTCTTTGACCAGGAGGTTGAAGATGCGTTTCTCCCGGAGCTTGTGCAGAACCATTACTCCAAACAATGCAGCTCCAAATGCCAAAAGCAACATTAACCCGTATGGTCTTCCTCTGTTGCTACTATTCATTACTTTGTGAGATCCAACCAGGGCCATTTTTTTTCTGAGGTCAAACAAACTAAGAAGAAAGAAACAATGTGTATATAATAAGTCTTTGGTTTTCTATGTTAGAGGAGAGTGTAGGGGTTGCTTGTCATGTAAAAAGAACCACGCAACTACTTCATTCACTTCCTGCAGCCCACCCTGGATGGAGAGCGGAGTAAAAAAGGGTGAAGAAGCATATGGCAAATGTTTCCTCACCTGGTGCCGATTCTCGACACTATTTGACAATTTTCTCAAGTTCCAAGTATCCTATACTCATTTACCTTTATGCCCCTGTTGCTTTGAAACTTTAATAGAGAATGTAGTTAATTTACTAGACAAGCCTTAACCCTCTATTGAAATCACGAATAAACCCTCTCCATACATATATGATTTTGAAGTTAACACTGCATCTATTGGAGGGGAAAAAAAAAAAAAAACTCATACAGGTGTTAACAGTACATTTTGGTTGCTTTAACTCGACTTCTTGTTATCATGTATAGAGAAAATGTAGGCTAAATAATTTAATACGTAATGTAGATAACGGAAACCCTTACTCAGCTAATCCTAATAGATTTATCTAATGTTTCAGAAGGTTTACTCTTTTTCTTTAATTTTTAATTTCAAACTTTTGAGTTACAATAATATTATGGTTTACTTGTTATTTTGATTTTGTATGTTTTTCAATGAACCTCATAAATTATTTTAAGTATACACAAACTGATCTTCTTAATATCTCTGTTACCTAAAAAAAGAAAAACTCCTACTCACCTCATGAATGGAAATGGTTTTGAGTTTGATTGGCATACAAGTGAACCCATGTGGTGAAGCCAAGATATAGAAGATGTAAATTCTTGCCAAATCTAGAAGAGTAGGGGATTGGAATTTGTCAATGATACCGTTAATATGATCCTCAAATTATTGAGAAAAAAAAAAAAAAAAAAGGCACTTGTATTTTACGATATCTCTCACATGAAAATTACAGCAAGTATACTAAGCTTGTACGCAACCCAAATTACTTGAAATTTAGGTAGATTTCCAAAATGGGTTACCAAATCAATTAGCATTGCATAGCTTAAGTATTTATTAAGTTTAAGAAACGCAAGCACATGCAAGAGATTTATATCACCAATAATATATAAACTTAAAAAATACATAATATTACGAGTTATAAATAGATTAAGTTAGATACTTTATTAGTATAAATAAAAGTTGAATAATTATGAATTAATACTGCAAATTAAGAAACATTAAAACGTAAATGTGGAAGAAAAGACATATAGTAATAGTATAGGACTATGGTTATTTACTTCGAATATAGAAACATCAGAACCAAGAAAAAGTACGTCATAATACATGTACGAGACGTGGCCTATAATTGACCGGACGATTCACATCAACTGTTCTCTCATCAAATTAAAAATAACCCAATCAAAAGACTGTACGCTCCTTTTGCCAGAGGCCCCAAAACGATAACTAAAGTTCTAAAACGCCATCTACAGCACCCGCCACCAAACCCGGCTTCTCACAGGCTTTATCACAAACAGGTAGTTGCAATTGCAATCTCTTCTTATTCAGCCACAAAAGGAATAATCTTAAAGTAAATTCAGTTTCTGTGTTGTTATTACTTTTCTTGCCAAAGTTTTTTTTTTCATGGACTCTCAACAATCTAACAATTCCGTGCAAGACATCTTTGACTCGTCGCTTAATCTAGAAGAAACTCACTTCAAAGAAGGTTATGACGAAGGCTACAATCACGGCCTAACGACTGGGAAAGAAGAAGCCCGACAAGTGGGCCTCAAGTTGGGCTTTGAAACCGGAGAAGAACTCGGATTTTACAAGGGTTGTGTCGATGTCTGGAACTCGGCCATCCGGGTCGACCCCACTCGTTTCTCGACCCGGGTTCAAAAGGGTATAAAGCAAATGGAGGAGTTGATTGAAAAATACCCAGTTATGGATCCGGAGAATGAGAGTATTCAAGAGATAATGGAGGCTTTAAGGCTCAAATTTAGGGTCATTCGCGCTGCTTTAGGGGTGAAGTTGGAGTATGATGGGCATCCTAAACCAAAAGATATTGAGTTTTGAGTGGATATTTAGTTTTTCATGCTTTTATTGGCCTTCTATATTTGCTCAAATATTTCATGAAAATTTTGTAGTATTTTGGTTACGGATTATCTTCAAGATTGAATTAAACACCTTTCCAATTTGTGTGGAGAAGTCATTTTGTTATGACTGTTAATTCCATGTAGGTGGTATATTATGGGTACAGAAGAATCAATACATGGCAATTGGCAGCTTTGTTTGATGATGAAATGATAAGAGTAAGTAAAAGGGCGGGAAATTCTTGCATATGCAGATAATTAAGATATACTGAATGGATATAGAGACCAGTTATGATAATGTCTTTCTGCAGAACCACCTTTAAATAAAGTTGTCTATGAGAATGGGAGATGTGATTCAATTTCGAGGTCTAAAACTAATTAATTTTGTTTGAATACACATATCACATAGCTCTGGCTTCCTCAAGTTGTATAAGGTTAAATTTGAATGTTATTGAACCAGGAAGAAATCAAGATTTACTATATTAGATTTTCTACTGATTGATATCCTAGACTATGAAACATACGCCAAAAGCAACTGTTCGGCTAATTTGGGCTGATTTAAATATAGAAGAGAAAGCAACTCAAAACCTGAATATTTGTGCAACCAAATGCAGGGGTATATAGTGGTAGCTGAACATCATTTTGGGAACAGACTTAACAGCTTAAAAGTTTCGTAGGTGGCTGTGTTTATTCAACTTTCTATTGCCTTTCATATCAGTGTGTGAGTTATTGCTAATATAATATAAGATTTGATTGCAGCTGACTACTATATCTACACTTAGATTTCTGTTTTATATGCTTTACTCTGCAGTTTCTTGAGTTTCCTTTTCACTTGTTTATAGGGCGTTGCTTGAAATTTCTCTTGTACTATTTGCAGTGTGGTCCCCAGAAACTGCTGGCCACGAATGTTCTTGATAATGCTATCTCATTAGCTCAATCTCTCTTTTTATGCAGTTCGTGGCAAGCAGGAAGAAAGAGAAAAATGTTAAAGTTGATGCTTGCTTGCTGCAAAGTATATATATCTGAGAGTCGAAACAAGGCTGCACTGCAATCAGTTGAACGAGCAGCCAAACTATTCCCGGAAGCTGCTATTGTTAACAAATTTGAAGATGTGATTTACAATAGAGTTGGTTATACCGTTGTCTCCAAATTGGTTCCAGAGCTATCACCAGATTCATGTTCTTTGAAGAATACTGTGTTTGCCATGGTTAAAGCTGCTTTTGAAAACATTGACCTGGAGATGCATTCTGGAAGTCATCCTCGGCTTGGAGTGGTTGATCATATATGTTTTCACGCGTTGGCTTGTGCCTCTTTAGACCAAGCAGCTGGGATTGCGAAGTCTTTGGCTGCAGATATTGGCTCTAGTCTTCAAGGTTTGTGTCCTGGAAACCACCAAAAAAAAAAAAAAAATGTAGATAGGAACAGATTAATTAGCAGACGTTTTGTTGACAACAGGAAACACATTCCTTAACTGTCATTTAATTGTTAATGGCCAAGATTGATAACTTAACTGCAAGATATCCCAGTCCTAGCACTCTCTGAAAACAGGCATGAGAGGGTAGTCTGTGTGGTGTTTTTCTGAACAATTCCTTGACCCATACCAGGTTTCTATTGTTTTTTTATACTACATTGGATTATTTTTACTTTGATGTTGCCTTAGTGTCTCCTCAGTAAATGCAAGATGATTAGATTCAAACTTCTATACTGAGACATCTTGGTATCATGTGGAAAAGTAGACAGTGTATTGAATTTTAAACAATCGGTCACTAACTTGAAGCGTAAAATAGTTTTTCTTTGATCTTTATTTCTTGTTCAAAATAAAGTAGACTTTTGAATGAACTACTTTTATCGAACAATAAGAAAAATATGGCGTCTCAGTTGTATTACTACCAAATTTGTATTTCATAAGACTTTATTGTAGAAAGAACTGGGGTATAAGAATATGTTTTATAGAGTATAATGAGTATGAATATTGTCTCTGTACATATATTTTAAGTTTTACCTCCAAAAACTTTCCCTTGTGTGTTGCTAATATTTCTTATCAGCCTGCAGTCCCTACCTTTTTGTATGGAGCTGCACATGAAGAAGGTAAGACACTTGATTCAATCAGAAGAGAACTGGGTTTTTTCAAGCCTAATTCAGTTGGAAACCAATGGGTTGGAGGATCAATATCAGAGTCCTTGCCTCTGAAACCAGATGAGGGTCCACTTGAAGTGAGTCAAACAAAAGGTGTAATCGTAATTGGAGCAACCAGGTGGGTTGATAACTACAACGTCCCTGTGTTCTCTACAAATGTTGGTGCTGTTCGTACAATAGCAAAACGAGTAAGTGGTAAAGGAGGTGGACTTCCTTCAGTACAAGCCATGGCACTGGCACATGGTGAAGACGTCATTGAGGTAGCTTGTAATTTGTTGGAACCAAGTAAAGTAGGAGGAGACAAAGTTCAGCTAGAAGTTGAGAGGCTTGCAGGAGAAGAGGGTATGGCTGTGGGGAAGGGATATTTTACTGATCTTCCACAAGAGAAAATAATTGAAAGTTATATGGAACTGACTTCATCTATGTAATATATATATACATGAAACAAATTGCTCCATGTGTAACATTTGAGGGTGAAATTTTATAATGAAAGGTCAATTTTTCTTGTCTCTAAAGATTTCTTTTTCCCTAATGGTAGATTTTAGCATATGTTCAAACATAGCATTACATTCGAAAATAGCTATACTTGAATTAAAGATAACTCAGCTCCTATTTTCTTATGCAAGAGCCTTAGCAGTATTCTGAGGGCCAGAAATGAGGGTTGTGTCCTCTACACCAGAAGATTAGAAGTATATATGCCTGCAAAAGAGGCTACCAGTTTAATACTTAAAAAAAAAAAAAAAAACTAAATAATAATTGTGGAGCAAATATGATAAACAGGCAGCTTGCGGAGATAGGGAATAATCCTCTTGCTTATCAAGAGAATAAATGAGGGCCGTCCCGACTGACACCAAAACAAGCAGATACGAACTTTTTTAAGGCTATACTAGTCGGCCAGCATACTGATTGCAATTGTTCTTGTTTTAATCGAATCCCAAATATTAAAGAGGCATGAAAGGTGATTTTTTTTTCAAAATCAAGAGACAATTACAAGAACAATCGCTAAAATCAATTATCATAGGAAGTAAATACAGTTAAAAAAAATCCAGCTATAGCCTTGAAGATTAAAAACATCATATCTAACATCTCTCATGTAAAGCTATAACTAAAAATAAAAACTACTGTAAAACTCTGAATATGGATTGCCAAACAACTGTAAACTCTGAGTTCGTCCAATATTGAGTGTGAATTCATTTGATAAATCGATTTGTAGCAGAATTGTTTAATTCGGCGGTGCTGGGATGACGCGGAAACATGAGCATATCAATTATCTATTAAAGGCTATGATGTGGATATTGGATAAACCAATTATAATAATTGTTTCAAACCAAGCTCCACGCGAGAAAATGTATCTAAATTATGAGCTTTGCGACTGTAGAAATTTTTAAAATTCTATTTTATGAAAGATGGTTTTCTAGATCATGTCTTCTAGTATTCGTTTCATCTCTAATTTATGCTTATAGTCAGCACCAAGCCAACGACCATTTCTTATATGTTTGTAAATTCAAGGCTCAGGTCTGATGTTCTTCCTACCAACAGACTTTTACCAATGTTTGATTGGTATTATTATTATTAATCAAATATGGATGTGACCTATTTGTTGTTCTGGCCAATAATTGAAGAGTAATTAAACTAGTGATGGTAGAAGAAAAGTTGTTTTCATATGCAAAAGAAAGAAATTGATTATAATCTTTTTTTTTCTTTTTTTCTTTTTTTTGTAGTTGGAGTTTCCTCGTTAGTCACACTCATACAAGTATCGGAAACATCTACTTCTTTGTCTTATTTGTTTCCCTGTTTTGTTCTTCTTTTATGTGGTTTTAAGATGTGATCTTATCCAATGTGATTCTCTTTTGAATGGTGGCCTCAACTTATATCTATATTTATTTCATCATTCATTTATTTTATAATTGAGTCAAAAATATTGCCTTAATTATTTTTTTGCACAAAACCCCACATGTTGTCTATCAAAAACCGTACTAATGCCTCTATGATCAACACATGTTTCGCTACAAGTTCTGGTGGGGTATGCCACTATATTTTTCAACATTCTATCATCTTCCAGTAACTGCAACGTAGAATGCCTTGATGCTGAAGATAATTTAAGATGCGTTTAGTTTATTATTTTGAATAAAATTTTAGAGATAATATTGAATAGTTGAATAGAGTTATGATTATAAGAACATAATTTTTAGAATATGTATTAGTTATGATTATAAGAACATAATTTTTAGAATATGTATTTGATAGAGTATTTTGACCTTGATATTTGTGTTGAATATTTGATTAATATATATTTTTATAAATGATTTATTAATATAATATTTTATTACATTTTGTTAAAATAAAAACCCAACTGAAACAAAAACCCAATTAAAACAATTCTATGCCAATTGTCGACAAAAAATAAAAACTCAATTAAAACAATTTTGTGCCAATTGCCAAAAAAAATAAAAACCCAATTAAAACAATTATGTGCCAATTGTCAAAAAAAATAAAAACCCAATTAAAACAAAACCCATCCATGCGCATTCACAATCCATTCATGCCAAACAAAGAAAAAACGCAAAACATCCCCTTGTACACAGATCTAAGGTGGGTTTGATCCAGATCAGGGTGTAGGTTTGCGGCAGATCAGGTCACGGTGACAGTGGGCTTGTGTGTGATCGGGGTGGGTTGGTTTGTGGTAGATCGGGTCACGGTCACGGTGAGGTTGTGTGTGCTCGGGGTGTGGGTTTACAAGAGATCGGGTAACGGTGGGTGCATTTGCGGTTGATCGGGTCACTGTGGGTGCGTTTGCGGTTGATCGGGTCACCGTGGGTGCGTTTGTGACAAATCAGGTCACGGTGGGGTTCTAAGGATCAGATCGGGTCTGGGTGGGTGGGTGGGTTTGCTATAGATCGGGTCACGGTGGGTGGGTTTGCGATAGATCGGGTCACGGTGGCGTTGTAAGGATCAGATCGGGTCACGGTGGGTTCACAGTTGGGGATCGGAGGTGGGTTCACGGTGGGTTTGTGTAACGCCCCTCTTGAGGTATGTAGCTAATGTTTCTTCTTTTGCTCTTATTTGAGTCGGTTTATTAGTATTATTGTTTAGTTGGCCTTTGATGAGTCTCAAAGGTTTGTGTCTGGAAACCACCAAAAAAAAAAAAATGAGATAGGAACAGATTAATTAGCAGACGTTTTGTTGACAAACAGGAAACACATTCCTTAACTGTCATTTAATTGTTAATGGCCAAGATTGATAACTTAACTGCAAGATATCCCAGTCCTAGCACTCTCTGAAAACAGGCATGAGAGGGTAGTCTGTGTGGTGTTTTTCTGAACAATTCCTTGACCCATACCAGGTTTCTATTGTTTTTTATACTACATTGGATTATTTTTACTTTGATGTTGCCTTAGTGTCTCCTCAGTAAATGCAAGATGAATAGATTCAAACTTCTATACTGAGACATCTTGGTATATGTGGAAAAGTAGACAGTGATTGAATTTAAACAATCGTCACTAACTTGAAGCGTAAAATAGTTTTTCTTTGATCTTTATTTCTGTTCAAAATAAAGAGACTTTTGATGAACTACTTTATCGAACAATAAGAAAAATATGGCTCGCCAGTTGTATTCTACCAAATTTGTATTTCATAAGACTTTATTGTAGAAAGAACTGGGGTATAAGAATATGTTTATAGGTATAATGAGTATGAATATGTCTCTGTACATATATTTTAGTTTTACCTCCAAAAACTTTCCCTGTGTGTTGCTAATATTTCTTATCAGCCTGCAGTCCCTACTTTTGTATGGAGCTGCACATGAAGAAGGTAAGACACTTGATTCAATCAGAAGAGAAATGGGTTTTTCAAGCCTAATTCAGTTGGAAACCAATGGGTTGGAGGATCAATATCAGAGTCCTTGCCTCTGAAACCAGATGAGGGTCCACTTGAAGTGAGTCAAACAAAGGTGTAATCGTAATTGGAGCAACAGGTGGGTTGATAACTACAACGTCCCTGTGTTCTCTACAAGTTGGTGCTGTTCGTACAATAGCAAAACGAGTAAGTGGTAAAGGAGGTGGCTTCCTTCAGTACAAGCCATGGCACTGGCACATGGTGAAGACGTCATTGAGGTAGCTTGTAATTTGTTGGAACCAAGTAAGTAGGAGGAGACAAAGTTCAGCTAGAAGTTGAGAGGCTTGCAGGAGAAGAGGGTATGGCTGTGGGGAAGGGATATTTTACTGATCTTCCACAAGAGAAAATAATTGAAAGTTTATGGAACTGACTTCATCTATGTAAATATATATATACATGAAACAAATTGCTCCATGTGTAACATTTGAGGGTATAATGAAAGGTCAATTTTTCTTGTCTCTAAAGATTTCCTTTTCCCTAATGGTAGATTTTGCATATGTTCAAACATGCATTACATTCGAAAATAGCTTACTTGAATTAAAGATAAACTCAGCTCCTATTTCTTATGCAAGAGCCTGAAAATTACAGCAAGTATACTAAGCTTGTACGCAACCCAAATTACTTGAAATTTAGGTAGATTTCCAAAATGGGTTACCAAATCAATTAGCATTGCATAGCTTAAGTATTTATTAAGTTTAAGAAACGCAAGCACATGCAAGAGATTTATATCACCAATAATCTATAAACTTAAAAAATACATAATATTACGAGTTATAAATAGATTAAGTTAGATACTTTATTAGTATAAATAAAAGTTGAATAATTATGAATTAATACTGCAAATTAAGAAACATTAAAACGTAAATGTGGAAGAAAAGACATATAGTAATAGTATAGGACTATGGTTATTTACTTCGAATATAGAAACATCAGAACCAAGAAAAAGTACGTCATAATACATGTACGAGACGTGGCCTATAATTGACCGGACGATTCACATCAACTGTTCTCTCATCAAATTAAAAATAACCCAATCAAAAGACTGTACGCTCCTTTTGCCAGAGGCCCCAAAACGATAACTAAAGTTCTAAAACGCCATCTACAGCACCCGCCACCAAACCCGGCTTCTCACAGGCTTTATCACAAACAGGTAGTTGCAATTGCAATCTCTTCTTATTCAGCCACAAAAGGAATAATCTTAAAGTAAATTCAGTTTCTGTGTTGTTATTACTTTTCTTGCCAAAGTTTTTTTTTTCATGGACTCTCAACAATCTAACAATTCCGTGCAAGACATCTTTGACTCGTCGCTTAATCTAGAAGAAACTCACTTCAAAGAAGGTTATGACGAAGGCTACAATCACGGCCTAACGACTGGGAAAGAAGAAGCCCGACAAGTGGGCCTCAAGTTGGGCTTTGAAACCGGAGAAGAACTCGGATTTTACAAGGGTTGTGTCGATGTCTGGAACTCGGCCATCCGGGTCGACCCCACTCGTTTCTCGACCCGGGTTCAAAAGGGTATAAAGCAAATGGAGGAGTTGATTGAAAAATACCCAGTTATGGATCCGGAGAATGAGAGTATTCAAGAGATAATGGAGGC